TTGGAAGGCGGACGCATTCTCGCCTCTATAGAGTGTGGTCTATGCTAGCCTATGCTACATGCGAGGTGTCAAAGTACTTTTAGTTACTACTGTTGTGTAACATGTTTGTCATCCTTTTTCAATTTACGCGCATATGGCATAATATCAGCAGAGTCGTTTCGGAGACTTGCAACAAAGTTGTAAGACTGTATACGTATATTATTTTCTGTACCACAGCACTTTCTAGAATTATAAATCTACTTACACAAATATTATTAGAGGTGAGGGCAATAATTTGCCTCCGATTAGCCTATAGTAAAAAATTTACATTCAGAAATGAGCGCCATTCGAAATTAATAGCTACATAAAATAACGTCAGCTGAAAAGGCGATTGTGTTAACAAGTGTTTCGTCCGAGATGGTAGACCGAGCAAGTGGAGCTCCGGCCGTTTGCTTTATGTAACCTAAACAAAAACCTGACTACACAAAAAAATGGTAACCTTATATCAGTCGTCTTTATGAATGACCACACCAACGAGATCTAAATCGAACGAGAAGAATTTCCACAAGTCTAGCAATTGCACTAATAATTCAGACTTTTCACTATTGGAGGCGATTTATAGTTAACCATGAAGAAGGAACCTTTTAGAGCATGGGGTCCAGAAATTTTTAAGAACTACAACTTCCCCCAAATACACAAAATACTATATAAAATGTTTGCGTTCAAGTAACCTGCATTGTATACGTCTCAGGTAATCCGCTCGCTCGACATCTATACTGCATTCATGATCACGGTTACTGCATCTGAAACGCTTACTATTGTGCAAACTATTCCCTTTCAAATGGATTCGTATATACTGGGCGTTTCTCAGCGTAGGGGCACATTTCAAATATAATGTGCTATTTAAGGAGACTCACAGAACAGTATAGCTGTAATTTGAGAGCAAACGTCGCTAACTCCTCCAAGCCATTCGACATCAGTGACAAATATCAGCGACGAGGTTCACATAGTGGGGTCTGGGCGAAGCTAACTGCCAGAACCTTCCCGCAAGATGCTTCGGACAATGCCGACGGCTGACTAAATAAACTAGGAACATCCATTGTTTTTGCTAGTTTTTAATCTGTATATCAGCAGTTTTGTCAACTTCGCACCCCTCCAGTCGCTGCTAGACTGTGGAAACTAGAGAGCTTCAATGTTGCTGGGCTGGCGGTTCTCCCATAATTAGAACAACTCGGTCGTGTTCTAGCGGAGCCGCCATCTTGCCTACCATTCTATGCAGCCGTTTGTGCGCCATTTACGCAGTTATTGAGCCTTACCATCTTGTGAAATGACGCGGAACAACTTTAAGGACATGCAACTTCACGCGTTCCGTGGTCACGCGGTCACAAAGCAGGAGGAAAACTTGTGGCCGCGGTCAAGAAAACTGAAGGCACTTGCCCTCCTCAAGAATGTCGCCACTCTAGCGAGGAGGAGCCAGCAAGGGAAATTGAGGAAGTCTGATGGAAGCATATTTCTTAACCACGCCGTCATTGCCATTCCAGGTAAACGCACATATCATACTCAGAAGCAAAGACTTTGTTCCCCATTTGAGTTAGTCGCAATAAAAGTCAAAAACTCCCCGCGAACTCTGATTCTGCTCAGATTATGAGCACGTGTGTTCATTGCTATGCGTCGCAGGCGTTTTAGTTTCTTTTATCTGACGACCTAACCCCGCCGCATCGTTGCGGTGCCGGCGTAGCTAGTTTGCGATTGAGGCAGGCCTACTGTATAAGTATACACTATGTGTCGGTATGCAGGAGAAGACCCAGTTTTTCTGCGTATCAAGATACCAAAGCGCGTGAAGCTGCCCTCGGTCTTAGAAGGAAGATTAACGCAAGACTTAAAACTTCTGACCGAGGAATGGTCCTGAGCTCGTTTTCTTTCTGTCTTGCTTTTTTTTTTTTTTTAATCTTTATTGCGACCAGCGATACGTTTCGTGTTTTTTTTTTTTTATTTTTATATTGAGCCATGCATTTGTTTTTAACGCTATCATGCGCACTTAGAAACATTGTTTTTCTTCGTTTTCTAAGTGGAAAAGCTGTGATGTAATTTGTGTTTTGTCTCTTTATATGCATTATTTACTGCAGTGCAGGCACCTTCGCTGAGCAGGCGAGGAAGTTGCACGACGTATTATAATGGTAGTTTTAAATTTTAACCAATACTAAGGCTGGTTTGTCTTTAGAGCGCAGCTTTTAAAGGGATATTAAAACGAAATTTTGGCGCTTATTTTATGGTCTGTATGTGTTCAAAGGAGCAGTATCACGTCGGTCGCACCAATATCTTGTTAAAAAAAACAGGAAAAGGAATTTTAAAACAAATTAAACGATTAGAAAAGAGCACCTGGTGGATGTCGCTCACGCCTCGTTTGTAATGCCCATCTAGGAACCTTGAGAGGTAGTGACGGTTATTGTCTCGCCTCCGGCCACGACGAGAGAAGAGGGGAAGGAGGAACTCCCCTCTTCCTGAGAATGCCTTTTGTGCGTCCCAGACGTCGCTATTGTCCCTCTAGAAGATTATAGAAGATTAACCTGTCACTCAAAATTCTTACAAAAGCCGCCGCTTTGGTGCCTGGAACGACTATAGGCCATCCTTTCGATCAGCCTCGCGGTAGCTTTTCTCGTCCCGAGACGATCTACGCCACGATTGCGTCGGATGTCACGTGCTCTAAACTGAGCCTTCTCCGAGCGCTTGCCAGAATGGGCCGTTTATAACAAAAAATTGAGCCACCATGCTCCAAATACAAACGTGCGATTGTCATTTACGGATATTGTGGATCATATTCAACCTATTTTTCAACACGACGGGAATATTTCAAATTTCGTTGAAGTCTATCTTTAAGCGCCCTTTTCCGTGTTTCGTGACGTCGGCCTAACCGCGCTAAATTTTGCGGGTAAATTGACGTCACGTGACCTCAACACCAATTCAATTCCCGGCTAATTTAGCGGGGAATTGAATTGGTGTTGAGGTCACGTGACGTCGATTTTCCGGCTAAATTTAGCGGGGAAGCTGTGGGAGGATGGGATGGTACGCAGGAGGAGGAGGATAGGGTACGGTGGAGGAAGGGAGGGGGGAGGAGGAGGAAAAGGAGGAGGAGATAGGAAGAGGATACGGACGAGGAGGGGCATACCCTGTTCCTCCTGAAGAGGTGCGCTCTTATTTCGCATTACAGAGATTTGTAAACGTGTTTCATTTTTACCTCTGAAGCACTTGCGTATAATACCTCCAGAGATAACCCACCTACCTAAAAGCGAAAGCAAATCAGGTGAAAATAGGGAGTAAAAGAACTTTCGGTGTGCGATCAAAAAAAAGTAAAAAAAGTTATAATTTCAGATTTTATGACCTGCTAAAACTTGTGATCGCAAGGAGGAGCGACGAACCAAAACGACTGTCGTTCCTAGTCAGCTAACGTTCGCTTATCCCCCGCCGTAGCTACGTGACACCATTTCTGCAGAGGTCATCATTGGCTAGGGCCAATGGTGACCTCTTTGGAAATGGTGTTACCAAAGCCCTGCAATTATTCAAAATGAGCATTTTTTTTTAATAGCAATTTATTCTTAACTAAATTGTGGGCTATCCTTAGGGGGTGGGGCATCTCTCGGGATATTACGGTAGTATACTCTAAAAAGAGCCCGTGAGTCCACTTTCCCGCACAACACTCGGAGAGCCAATCCCCGCAACTTGCGGAGGCAGCTCGGCGAATGACAATGCCGAAACATATGTTTAGACCAAAAAACGCTGTCTGAGTTGTGATAGTAAGCAATGCAAGCGTGATGCTTTGCATTGCATAATGTCACAACTCGGACTGCTTTTCTTGGTCTAAACAAATGTTTCGGCATTGTCAATCGCTGAGCTGCCTCCGTAAGTTGCGAAGATTGGTTCTGCGAGTGTTGTGCGGGGAAAGCAGACTCACGGGATTTTTTTAGAGTGTAAAAAAACACGTAAGGGTAAAGACAACATTTTTTTTTTTATAATATACGCCAACTTTAGATACATAACGTAGCTACTCCTGTACACAATCAACGCACAAATTTCGGCAATTTCCCTACGTGGAGCAAGCTTTTGGATGCCCTCCTCGAAAAGAGCTAGAGCACCGGTTCTCAGTCAGTCGGCCACACGTTTAACAAGACCTTCAGTCAATCAGACATACTCTCCTGATCATCGTGAACGTCACTTAAGGTGAAACGAAGTATAGTGACCGCGCAGAGCAGCTACACGATGCACCATGACCCGCGTTTCACACGTTGTGATGGCATGTTATTAGTGTTGTAGCCGTTGCAGAAAAAATATAACGAAATACGTTACTCGTTACCTGCAAATAAACGAAACGCGTTACCGACCTACGTTACTTTAAAATAAAAAGAACGCATTACCGTTACCGCTACCGATAAAAAGTAAGGCACATCACTTTTGCGTTACTTCTTAAATTATGAATTAACACGTTTTACTTTTTTTGGCATTTCAGGCATGCATCAACGCATTATTTCAAGAAACATTATGTCCATCGAGAAAGTGAACATCATTACCGTTCCTTTTTTTACAGTTTTACCTAAATACTCACGAGAAAGACCGCAAAGAACACAAAAACTAAAAAGTTACGTGACAATTGTCGTATAGAAACACGGAAAAATTGAATTTATTTTCATGAAGCCTTGGGAAGAATAAATAACGAGTAACACAAGTATGTCACACGTTACTCGAAATAAGTAACGTAAGTACGTTACCCGTCAGAGTTTTTGAAAGGTAAGAAGTACGTTACTACGTTACCGGGAAAAGTAACGCGTTACCGGTAACGCCGGGACTCGTAAAGCGTTACCGCCAACACTGCATACTATGCGAGTGACGTTTGAAAGCGACCACTGGAAAGTGGCGAAAATGACTTCAACAACCAACAACTTGTGGATAGTCTCATTTAAAAAAAAAAAAAGACATATAAGAGACCAAACAAAAGAACAGAACATAGCAGGATGACGATGCGAGCTTACCCTTTTCATCACCAGACCTCGCATTTCTTCTTCGTATTCATGGCACTGTTCTTTCGGCACTGGAACTCCCTCGCAAACTCCTCGGAATTTGACACAGGACCGGTGACCCTACAACGAGACAGGAAGTTCGGTTAGCGAAACAAGGTTGACGTGTTCTAAGCTCGAGCCTGTTCGTATAATTTATTTTCTTAAAAATCGTGTAACGCAAGCAATCGTAGTCGCAGACAGACTAAGAACTGCAGGGCGTGGCAAGCATCTCATTTACGCTCCGCAGCCAATGAGATTTCATTACCCAATAAGAACGACGAAGAACCAATCACGAAAGCAATAAGTGTGACCACAAAAGGCCACGCCACACGTTTCTCGATATAATAATAATAATAAAAACACTACAACGTGTCGGCCTAAAGAACTTTTTTTGTTGTTGTTGCTTTTGTCGCAAAAATAAACTATGCATCGCCGAAGGCTCGTTCTCTGTCCAAATGTTGCGCTAGCGATGCACACCAGATGCCAAAGTTTCCGAACTGACCGCTATCTCAATCAAAAGTTATAAGCGATTTTCTCCCAAAGATTTCAATGGGAGGCGGCCGGTTTTCGCCGCCCATTTTCGGGAACTGGCGCCATTCAGCTTCATGTATTCGAGAGCGGGGACCACTTTCCCCTCGAAAATTTAAGAATGTCTCCTTTAACCTCTGAATGCGATAACGGTTAGTTACGCGCTTAAAGTTTTGTTCAGACGGGTCCTCTTAAAATTAAATACCTCAAACATAAACTGGCCCAAAATGTAAAGAAGTAAAAACATTTTTTTTTAATTTCCAAAAGTAATAATAAGAAACCAAACAAGCAAAACAACAATAGGATGGGCAGAATGATACAAGCATAAATTTTGCGATTACTTCCATAGTACGTTGTACGTTCTCCGACTACTTTCCATTTAACGCATTTGCTGGCGGCTGAAGGGATGCATCAATCTGTATTCATTTTCTTTTGTGTGTGTTCATATGTCAATTCCAAAAATGAAAAGCAATTTAACGAATCCAACTTTTAATTCCAGAAGGACGAGCTTGCATTCCGTAATGCCACAGCGCAGACTTCATTTTTGGGTCTAAACGGATGCTCCGCCTCATCATTCGCTGAGCTGACTTCGTAGAGCGCAGAGATTGGATATTTGAGTGTTTTGCGGGTAATTTGACGCGCAGGCATTTTTTAGAGTGCAAGGAAGAGGATCTCATCCGAGAACCGAAAAACAGCCGGACGTGGTCAGCCCTCAGTATCTCATTACTAACAAGCACCATTAAAAACGCAGCATCAATCCATAAGATACGCCTAGGAACGAACGGAGAAGTATTCCGTCGGCCTTAATTAGACCCCTCTCACTTCCTCACCAATCAACATTCGCGGTCCCCATTTTTTTGGACACGAAGAATGTGATTGGATCCGAGTCGTCGCCGAATGCTGACGCACCACTCGTTTCCAATACGAACTAAGCCGAGTTCACGTCGAACTCTGACGCAGCGCTCGGCGTGAACACGGTGTAGCGACACGACCAATGCCATGCTCAGAGTGCGTGCCATAGCAATGGCGGACTTGGATAGTGGCTGCAGCAGCTACCGGACGGCGTGCACTTTTGGCAAGGCTCTGCTATGAAGCTTTCGTTCGAAGGAAAGTACCTGTATTTGGCCGGCGAGTGAGGGTCACTGAGGATCTGCAGGTGGATGGCCTCCGGCGTCTCGGTGGAGCACCAGACCTGCGCGAACCCCACGTAGAACAGCTGCTTGTGGGTCAGGTTCACGCCCGGCAGGGGAGGCTCGTCCGGGTGCGTGCCCAGCCAGTCTTCGAAGGCCTAAGAGGGATTCGCACGTTAGGGATTTTTCCTCTAAGAGCCACCGACAGATTCGCGGGGCAAGGCGAGTTCCGGACATTTTACTATCATAATTACAATGTAGCGCAAAGACAACACAAAACAGAGGCAGAGATAGGAAAGCGTTCTTTTCTATCTCCGTCCTCTTCCTGTGTTGTCTTTGCGCTACATTTTAATTATGCAAAACCAACTAGCCTAACCGCTCATTTTAATTTTACTATCACTCCGAAGCCGATAGGATTGTGGCATTAGCCTATAAGAACACTGCAAAATAATAAGTAAACGGTACGGTAATCAGCCTTGGTCTACTTTTTTTTTTTTTTAAACTTTATTGACTTAAGTTGTTATGATTTCTTCAGATTCGACGGTATGAACCGGCGTTTGCAAAGCATCAGAAAAAAGCGCCGCTTATTGGTCACTGCTCTTAAAGAGTTTGGAACGTCGCGAACCGGAAAGAAAAAAAGTGGGAAATTGGAAGTTCTACATTTATCACCAAACGCGTCATGGTAACACCGGATTTACTGCAGTAATAGACGCGCTACTATTGAACTATGTCCTTGCGTCTACTTCCCCACAAAACACGTATAATCCAATCGTGGCATTTTGTATAAAAAAAAAGTAGCGAATAACATCGTTGAGAACACGATTCTCCTTAAAAATACGATTTGCGGAGATATTATTTTCGTGTGTAGACGACACAGATATTTTTTCGTGTGTTTATTAGACACCTGTCTAATCAATCTCTAGAATCGTTCCGTCAATCGAGGTGATTGGCTATCCGCGTACTCCGCGAAAAAGCTAACCCAGAGGTTTTGTTCACAAGCGGTGCCATCTATTACGCAAGTAAGTACGGTACGTGCTTGTTAAAATTTTAATTGTGGTCAGATTAAGATATCACTGGAAGAGCATCCCCGTTTGTCTAGCCTGGCCGCCAAAAACACTGGGTTTATTAAGATTCTATTTTTTTTTTTTTCAGGAGAAATATTCAGTCAGCACTTCGTGACCATTTATTGAATGCAACAACCAGAAATTTAGATTACACGTTTCTGGTTATTATTAGACCTTGGAATCTGAGGATATACACGTAACCTTCATGGCTCATTACAGTTCCTATCCATGCATGGACAGTATTAAATTCGTCTTTCACTTCACAGCGCGTGTTTATAGATTTTTAGCCGATTGTATAAAAGGCCAGACCATGTTTCACAAGGCGCAGGACGCCGTTGTGTAATAAAATAAAATATAGTTACGTAATTCACATTCGGCAACTGACCAAGGGTGCGAAATCTCAAAATCTGCCAAGATGCTTGCTAATGAAAAAAGAAAAAAAATTAAATCAGGGGCGTCACAACTTTCGCAACATGCAAACTTCGACATGGGCCAGACTAAAGTTGTCTTTCTAATACTAATACATGCATATTGCCGTGAATGGGGGCCACCTGAAGTCCAGACTGAGACAGAGGGGAAAATTGAACGCATTGTTACCGTTCTCAGTTACAACCGTCGGATCATATAACCTATATATCGCATAAAACCGTCTTTTCTTTTTATCAAGTCCGTATTAGCTTGTTTAATGCTAAACTGTCGGACTTCGTTCCTCTCTCGAGACGTTAATAACGACTTTGAGGAGTTCCTGAACCACTCACGTGAAACGCTGCCTTGAGTCCTCCGTTGTCGGCGATGTTTTCTCCTAGGGTTTGCTTCCCGTTGAGCTAGAGAAACAAAACAAAAAAAAGCGACAGTGGTAATAAAAAAACTCAGGAAATAGCCCGCAATTCGACTTTATGATGACATTAAACAAAGTAACATGTCTTTGATGCGCAACGTTGAGGAAACATCTCATAGAACTCCGAAGAGTAAACAGGACGCTGATCTGGTCTAAGCAACAACATCAAGCAAAAGAGACCTCCGCACACCTTCAGACCTCTAAACTTCAGAAGTCAAGTCATAATTTTATAATGCTGTTGCTGTGAGAAAAAAAAAAGAGTTGTGGATTCTTATTTTCGTACTTGTAAATAAGAAGCTCTTCTTCAAATTTCGTTGACAATTATTTTTCGGCGGTTGTGTCAGAATTCGTCGGAGAATGGAGGGGTGTGCACCCTTCCCTTGCTGTAAAATGGCTATTGTAGAACCGGTTATTTAATGTGCACAAAATACTCGCACCTCCTTTAATGGTGGAAAGACAAGTTCCCTCATTTTGCGGCATATCAGCTTCATGCTGTCTACGTAAACATAGAAACAATATGAGTTTGCAATTTGGAAGCTGACTCCCTATAAAATAAATCATAAAGGCTGCATTGCTTTTTTGTGTGCGTCGAAAGTCAAACAAACCATGTACAACTATTTTTGCGCAAACTTTAACGTAAATATAGCTATAGGCTAAGACCCAGGAAAGTAAAAGAAAGGCCCGTAGCAAGAGGGCCACACACACGCGCATAGTGTCCCCTTTTTTGCGTGTCTTTCCCCTTCTCTTGGCCTCGGGTTTCAGTTATAATTTGTGAATCGCCAGGTCGTTCGCACTTTCGCTCTTCTTGGGAGCTTGACAACACTCGTCCTTTGTCACAATTTTTATGTTGTTTCGGTATTTTAAATTTTTCTCCCGCGTCACTTTTATTTTCTGGAATTTTTTCATCGAGCGTACCATATACCACAGCTAAAGAATAGAAGAATAAAACGTCTAAAGTAACTTTGATGTCTATCAAATTGCAAAAACATATTGTTGTCCGCTAATGGCGAAAATGTTTTATAATGATATTGTTGGTGAGAGTAAAACAGAGTGGACGCTTACGTTCTCGCCGTTGGCAGTGTAGTTCGAGTACTGGTCGATGAAGCATTGCGCTCGCGACTGGAAGCTCCGAATGGTCGAGTTCTTCCACCACTGGTGGAGGTTTCCGGTCTTGTCGTACTCTCGACCTACAGCAACATCCACACAGTCAGGAAGCGTAGCGGGTCAGGTAACAAGCGTTGACGAGTGGAGACATGCAGACGAGGGGCGGATTAAAGGTGGCGGCAAAGCGAAGAAGGCGACCACTCCACTCCCTTCCTCCAGCCCCCCCCCCCCCCCCCCCCCCCATCCCCAAGCCCAAAACGGCAAGTTTTTTTTTTTTTTTTTTTTTTTAGAAAAGGGTTTTGTTTTTGCTGAGATGGTGAATACTTTGGTTTTCTGTCGTCACACCCGCCCGTGACTTTAAATCTGTTTGTGATGTTACATCTATCCTTGCAGATCCTGATTCATAAATCCGCCCTTGATGCGAGCTAGCCTCAAGAGATTGAAGGCAGGGAAGGGAAGCATACCTTGGTCGTCAAAGGCATGCGTGAGTTCGTGGCCCATCACGACGCCCATGGCTCCGAAATTGAGCGATCTGAAGATGAAAAAGAAAATGGAATGAACGCATGAGTAAAAAATAATTAACAACAAACCGAACAGAAGTGACTTGATTGAACAAAAACTTACTTCGGATAGTTGGGGTCGTAAAAAGGAGCCTGGAGAATGCCCGCAGGAAAAACTGCGAGGAAGCACCGCCATCATTTCAGCAACGTTTCTCTTCAAGGAAACGTCGTGCATAAACGTGCAGTTTTAGAAAACGTAGGAACGAAAGCACTGCGATATAGCTATAACGGAGACGAAAGGACTTCTTCCATAACGTAAGCAACGAGCGCATGCCACAGAACGCGAAGGCGAAAACACGGAGGGGGAGAGCCTGGCCGCTTCTGCCCACATAGATCCCCCGCCTGCGCGGCCTTCCGGCCGCGGTGGTAAACAGAGCCGAGCCGCGTGTCGGTCTATTGGCGGCGTGTCCGAACTACAAAGGCACTCCATAAGCTATCATCATCATCATCAATTGTGAAGTCACCGGTAGCACAGACTGGGACAGAACGCGGAGATCTTGGAGCCCCCGTCTCGTCCGCTCGCTTCATGCGCTGGTTGAGCAACGCGTGCTTCACGCGTTGTATTTATTTGGTGAAGTGATATTTGTAGACAGACACTGTACCGAAATTTGAAACCGCACGTGGCACGCATAGTCGTGCCAACTAACACTTTTTGCGCTGAGGTGTCGAAAAGCTCGGATGGTGGTGTGCTGTTCTCAACCAAGCTGGATGATGAAAATAGAATATCCAGCGCTTTATCCCACCACAACATGTATCACGGCGAATAGAGTGTAGGTTTTAATATGATTTGGACAAAATAAAAACTAGGAAATAAATGTCTCATCAAATGGAGAATAGTAAAGCGAAATTCGAGAACCTCCCGCGTCTGTAGTAAGCACTTCAGGTAAAGCGACTCCGTTTAGGCTGTTGGTTCCAATGTGTTCTGTGAGTGCTGGTCTCGAATTAGTTCCGAATTGATTCCTTTTTGAATTTTGTTAAACAGTAAACAAACATTTCCTCAAAATAACTGGCAGGAAGAAGCGGTGGCTGACTCCCGGAGTCCTTTCAACTAAATCCCTGCTTATTCACCCGGTCGACGAAAAACGCGCGAGACCCCTTCGCGATCGAAGTCTTAAATTTACTAAGTCGGTGACACTTCAGCGTCCCAAAAACTTAGGAATGAACCTTTTATGAATTACCACCTTTTGTATGCTTAATTTTTGGGGACTCAAAGGCGCCTAATGCGTGATGCGCTTCTCAGCGAGCGATTTCAAATTTGTAAACAATCGTTAGTAAAAATAGGATGTAACAAATTAATCAATAGCCTGAATTTGCCGGGCCATCACCGACAGTTTAAGAATTTATAAAAAAATACTGCTTTTCTTTCGAGCGGAAGTCGCGACGTCACAAACTTCTTTGCCACGTATTCGATTCAGCGGGAGCTAAGCGTCAGTTGGTGACGAGCATTTGCTGGCCAGCTACTTTCGAGTCACTTCACTACTTTCAGCAGCCTCTACATATCCGGAGAAATAAGAAGTAGAGAGGCTGTGAATAGCCCTGACTCCCGCCGCGCAAGCTGTAATGGGCTTTAGGCTTGTTTTCATACACTTTCAAGTTTGTTGGTTTTTTTTATGTAAAAAGCAACTTCGAGACGCTGTTATTCACGAGACAGACCGCTCACAAAAACGCTATATGTGTTTCTCTAATAAATATAGCGCTTTTAATCGGCATAGATGCGAACTAACATAGCAACTCCGTCGTTCGACATAGCGCGTCGTCTGCTCGCACCCTACCGGCTGCGTCACAAGAGGGCGCTTGCAAGGTGGCCCCACCTAAACATCTTGCCGCCAATAGTATGGTGCCAGAAATGGGCGTTCAGAGATGTGGTTTTTCGATTTCCGCCTGATGACATCATAGAAGTGTCACGCTGTCGCCACTAGCGATCCTGGCGGCGTCACAGCATCAGTGGTGGATCCGGCAGACGGATATGTTCCGCTGCCGGTCGCTCTCCAGTTTGACAGTCCACGAAAGTTTCGGCAGCCAGGAGTTGGGACGCCGTGACGAAAGCGACACTCGCGTTTGCTCGTGCTTTTTGTCGGAACTTCTACGACCTACCGCTGGGATTGCGACACCCGACAGCACGACACTCCGGCTTTTTTGACGTCATTTGTTGCCACTTCGGGACCCCTTTCGATGCATGGGCGGACTAAGACGCTAACTACACTAACTGGAGGCGCGTTCCAGGAACCGTATCTTTTAGTGAGCAGGAAGGAGTGCCTACCCCGCTCGTGTACTAACTCCATAAGTCGTCTTCCCGAGGCGCTTACCGATCTGGTTCTTAGTGGGAGTGTAGTAGGCGTTGACGGTCGTCGGCGTCATCTCCCACTCGGTCTTGTTGCTGGGCCTGTACAGCCGCTGCATGTTCTTCCTCAGCAGGAACTGGCTCACGCGGATATTGTTCTCGAAGTATTCGTTCTCCTCAAACTCCAGCTAAGCAAATTGGAAAAGAGAAGCAAAGACAATGAGCTGTGAGCCCTGCGAGCGACGACTCGCAGGCCAGTGGGCGCTGAGTCGTCGCAGTCACCGCTAGACAAAGAAGAGAAAGTAGTTCAGTTGTCTCTAAATTTAGACAAACAAATCAAGCGAAAAAACTATCGAAAATAAATTATGTTAATTACCAAACCTTACTTCGACATTCGTTTGAAAGCTCACACAGCCATTTTATATATGCCCAGAGACCTCTTAAGTTACAAGTCTGAAAATTTCTAGCGAAGCCGCTATGTCGGTGTAACTCATGTAGTCAAGGCCAGATCGCGCTTGTCATATGGCACGGTTCAAACAAACCACGGCCGGGCTAGAATGAAAAGGCGCGCTTTTTTGCGACCTTTACGGCGCGGATGGTTTCTCTCAGCAGCCGCAGCTCGGTGCGGTCGCTACAACCTCGCCCCACCAAGAGTGCTTTAACTCGGCCTAGCAAGACACCCTAATCTCACTGTGCTGGACCCTTGGCTATGGGGTTGAATTGGAGAAATTTCCAGGCTAGTTAGAGCTACAGGCCCTGGGGCCGCCTGCTTGCAGGACTTAGGCAGAACAGTTCCCCGTCTTCTTAGGAAAAAAAATCATAAAAACGTCTTTACTTGTACCTTATATACTAACCCAAAAGTATTTCAGTCAGCGCACTACAGTTGTTTCATATGAATGCATTAACCCTCAGTTTCAGTCACGGTGGTCCTAACAGTTGTTCCGGGTGGTTCAGGCAGTAAGCGGAGGGGTTTTAAGCGGAGCGGCGCGAGGGATGGCGTTGTCGCGCCCGCACGCGGTAGAAAAACTCCCACTGCTTCTAAATTAAAGCAAATGCCATAAGAAATAGTGCTGTCTAGCCCGGCCGTGAACAAACAAACAAAACAAAATTTTTCTTAGTAACATTTCTTCTTCTGATTTTCATAACTTTTTTTTTTTGTCAATTACTGATAATTCCTTGAGTTGTGAGATCATTGGTTCCCTATTTAGCCGCCTGCCTGAAACATGTTTCATGAAACAATGTAACAGAGACGGCACTTTGTTTCTGCTGTCATCTAGTGCTAGAGCAAACTAGCATAAAACTTTGTTGTAACATCTTGCCTTATTTGTCCACTTACGAACACACACTGGGTCTTCATCACCCAGTGTTCGCAAAGACAATGAGCCATTCGAGTTTCCTGAAACTCGCCTACCAGCTCTATTTGAACCATTGTCCCCAATTCTCTTTCATCTCTGCAGTTTCATGACGTCATCATTGTTCTCGGCACTCAGGCATTCATGATATGGGCGACTTGTCTTTCTGCGGTGCCGCGGATCTCCTTAATCAAAACGCATATGCCTATGACTTGTTGCAAAGAATTTGCACAGTTCAGTCTCTTTCGACCAGTCCTGAAGTTTCAACTCTTACATGTCTCAATGCAAAGACAAACTAATCTACCGTTTAAGCAATGGGGGTTAGAAATATAGCTCAATCAACACGTTTTTCTCACAGAGACAAACGTTTTGTCTACAAACCTCAGTTATAAAGAAATCACAGCTTGCCTACAAGAGCTAACTGTAAAGAACGAAAAGCTTGTCCTCAACGATTAAGGGTGACGTCTACAAGAAGCAGCTCTAAATGTCTAACAGCTTGCTTGCAAAGAGTAATGGTCAGCAAGTGACATCACGTCTAGAAAGACGATCTATAAAAAGGTTAGTAGATTGTCATCTACCTACAACTAATTATAAACAACTAACAGCTGTCCCACATGTTCCATGATATTTCTCTGTATTCCGAAAATTATGGGGAACTTACATATTGAAGAACAAACGACTCCATTGAAGGAGTACAACGACACGAGTGTAAATAATGCACAGTGACCAGATTTCGGAACGACTCAGTACTCACGCAATAGACGCATGATAGTAAACATTAAAATTCGTCCATCAAAAAATGCGTCATAGTGTGATCTAGGCCAGCATCGGGTATGACGCCCAATACCGTAATTTCATCACTCGTTTCCGGCAGCATTTGCGAGGAAAAAAATCCCCCCAAAAATGCAGCATCGCGTGCCGGCGTCAGCAATTCTCTCCGTCTTCTTCTCTTGTCTTCTTGTTTTCAAATCGTGTCTCAGTGAATGCCACCCAATTTCTTTCTCGACTCCAAGAGAAGCGCGAGCTTCTCACGCTTCTCTTGGCACGCTCGCGTGAGTGGACGGGGGCGCTCACAATCTGGCCGGCAGCCATACCCTGGAAAGCAGAGTCGAGCCCGTTCTGACTTGCTCAGAGCACAAAGGCGTCTCGAAAAACGTGCACCATCGAAGCTGAGAGAGCACCACGATTACAAAAGCCATCCTGACGACAACACGTTCTGCGCGCCAAGACGTCACGCTGTATCATTTCACTAAAGTGGCAAGTTCGATGGTTAGTTCAAGCAGAACTTTGTTTTTTTTAAAGAAACTAATTATAGCTGAGGCCTTCACTAGTACGCGTTCTTTTACATAAAGTTATGTCCGAAGGATATTGCTCATCTCAATATTGTCTTTTTTCTCGTGATTTCTCAAATTACAGTTCGCAGCAATGTCTACTGGTTTTCGGTCGCGTGTACTACCTAAAGAGGTGGGGTTACGTTTATTGTAGAGGTGAGTTAAGCGCCCCGTCCCGAAGTAACACCAACAATATAGGACGGTCTAAGAATCCCACGGCGTTGCTTAATAAGTTCACGCTTTCGGTCTGGTGAATTGGATTTCGGCGTTCTTAATCGGCTAATGACGCAATCTCATTGACTATTGAGCGATAACGATATGCTCTGGGCTCGCCCCGTCCTGCGTTTCTTAAAAAAAAAACACTAATATAAAGTTTAAAAAAACATGTTTAAAGCGCTTAGATGGGACAATTTTTTTGTTTTTTCTAAATATTTCCAGGAAACAAGACAGAGCAATATTTACGCCGTTAGATGAAATTTCGGTGGGGGAACTCCATAACGAATGCGGCTTAGCTAGCTGAACAGCGTTTCTCGCGCTCATTGGCTGGAGAGATGATGGACGCGTGAAATAATCGTTGTAAAATTGTTTCTCCGTGCCGCAGCTTTCGTCCTGTTTGCGTATTTCTTCCGCCTCGTCCCTGTATTTGCACTGTTTCTACATTATAAGCAACGCAATACAATTTGTATGGACAAAAAAAAATATATATGGTGACCCAAGTCCACGGGCTTGATTTAAAATGGACCATAAAAATCGACTCCTGCACGTATCAATCTAAACTTTTCGTCAAAGGAGTATTTCACAGGTCGGTTTTTTTCCTGTAAAATTACAAAGCGCAGCTCTCTGTAAAAAATAGGGCCAAGATACTTGGCAGGGTCTACGACGGGCGACGACAAGATCAGAAAAGCAGAAAATTGGTATATTTGTTTTCTGTTCATTTTTTTAGTCCTCTCGGGTTTCTCTTTTTTTTTTTTTTTAGGGGAAAAGCTCCTTAAGGGCTAGCCATGTCCGTATGTCCGTCCGTCGTTGGGCGCACGTGCTCCTGCTCGTGAGCTCACGTGCTCACGAGCACGTGAGCACGTGCTCCCGTGCTCGTGTAGGGCAAAAAAACAAACAACCGCATCTCCACGTGGTGAATGATGTTGATTGGGGCGAAACTCTGGTGGTGCTTGTCTGCGTAAACGGTGAGCCGCAGCGTGCCGAGCCTTTCGTTCGTTCTCATCCATGTCAGAAAGAGAATGTGCGGTATGGAACGTGGTTATATACACATTGGAGCATTTGACCGCAGCGTGACATAGATGAAAACGAACGAAAGGCTCGGCATGCTGCGGCTCACCGTTTACGCAGACAAGCACCACCAGAGCTTCGCCCCAATCAACATCATTCACCACGTGGAGATGCGGTTTTTTTGTTTTTTTTACCGCACATGAACAGACGCTAAAAGATGATTGTATCGAACCGTCGCTCGTGCATGACGGAGAGCTAGAACGCCGCTTTCATGGTCGAAGTTGCGAGCGCTGCAGACATTTTTAGACAGGGGCGGGAAAGCAGACAGGCTTAGGCTGTGGGCTTGGGCTTTTTACGGACGTTGCAGACGACAATAGACGGTCGTGAAATAGCAGACGATGCCGGAAGCTGCCACATGTCTGCTCGCGCGACAAGAGGGCGGTGTTAGACGCAATACTACAGGATGAGTCAAAGGGATCTATGGCTGTTTGCAGGGACCGCACAAATTTGTTTCTGAACGAATCAAGCTATGATTTCGTACAGATGGGCAGAAAAATGTGCATTAAGCTTATAAAACTTTCAGTGACGTAACTTACCCGAGTAAAAAGATAAAAATAAAATAAAAAAATACTTGATATCTCTACCTACGGCGTTCGTCCGCTAAAAAAAAGGCGTCTGATTGCCGCGCCAGCCGAGAGATGACGGCACGTAAGATCGCCGGCGGCCACGACGGGCGCTTCCCTCGTCCTCGGCCATAGCAGATGACCTTTCTGAGCCAGAAGCGGTGCGCTCTTTTTCAGCGCGACTTTTAGGCGCGGGAATATTTGGTTCCACCATTAAAGCATTAAAAATGAAGATTAAACGAGAGAAACGAAACAGTAATTTTGTCTTGTTTTTTCGACAATTATTTTAGGCTATATCTCGTCGTTTGCTTTGCACTCTGTTGCCACGTTTCTTTTCTTGTCTGCAACTTTGATCCGTGCTCTTTTGGGGTGCAGGTCATCTTCATGGTGCTTGCATCGAACGAGTAAAGGTAACTCTCGGAAAGGGGAGTGTGAGAGGACAATAGAGGTCCATCGACGTTTCAGGACAAAGTTTCGGCGGCGATTTCCGGGCTCCGCTACAATTCTACGCTGAGTGAGGGGCCTCAACTGGAACGGAAATCTCCAAAACAAGCCACCGACAACAGTTATGTCACCGCCGGGGCTGACACTGAAAGACGTTGTACTCGCTGACTTCACGGTCAACCTCCACCTGTCGACGCTTAGAGCACTGCCGACATCTATCGGCTGTTGCGCCAATCAGACGTCTTTGGTAAGCACACAGCCTCCGTAGGTAGGGATTTCAAGATTTTTATTTGTACCTTCTTAATCAGGTAAGCTTGTTCAGTAAAAATGTTTAAAACCTTAATGCGCGTTCTTCAGCCAGCTCTGTGAAGAACTTTACTTCGGTACGTTCAAAAACCGATTGATAAGGTCCATTCAAATAGCCATTGATCCCTCTGCTCCTTTTGTAGACGTACCTCATGCCGCAGAATGTGAATAGTACGCTGGCGAGCGTGTTCGGCCGAAGAGCCAAGCTAATCCAATAGTAATGGGCGGGGCTACTGATTTGTGGGCGGGGTTTAAAGCGGGCCGCGGCCTCCACCTAAATTACGTCTAGCAACGTAAATATTTAGGAAAAAAAAGTTATCCTAAAAACCTAAGCCCTTTAATTTTTTTTTATTATCTTTTTAAGTTGATGGTGTCTATAGACAACAATGCCGTAGTGTTTCATTTTCTACGGCAACTATCGGAGGCCGGTGCAGGGCGTAAATTGTACACGAGCATTATAGCAGCGTTCGGCCGGAGCTCTTTCGGCGTTAACGCTATAGGGTCTTGTTGCATAGGAGGTGTTGCTGCAACTTTGCATTAAAGAGAGAGAGAGAGAGAAATAAAATAAATACTCTGTTAGGAAAGATGTTACACGATGACGCACTTACTCCCTTGTACTTTTCGTCGAGTTTCTTGGGGTCCGTGATGAAATCGGGGAAGCCTATCATATCGGTGATGGCATCAGCCTGAAAGATAAAAAAAAACACACACACACGCACAAATATAGTTTTTAGAGACCGATTAAGTAAGCTTCGTATACAGTTTCACGGGCTCAGAGTTTTCGGAAACCCGTAATTGCCAACGTAAGTTGGATCCGGCCCGTAAAGGGGTATTCACACGAGGGAGAAATCCCGGGATTTCTCTCTGGCACGCGCGCATCACGAGATGAAAACGCGAGGCTTTTGCACATCGGAAAGCCTGTCGTTTTCGTCGCGGGATGCGCGTGCCGTGGAGAAATCCCGGGGATTTCTCCTCGGCACGCGCGCATCACGAGATGAAAACGCGAGGCTTTCGCACATCGCAAAGCCTAACGTTTTCGTCGTGGAATGCGCGTGCCAAGGAGATATCCCCCGGGATTTCTCTCTCGTATGAATACCCCTTAAAAGTACAGTGAACTAGAATAACTTGGGTAGTGTTGGGACCGGAGCGGCTCGGCAACGGGAGCTCGTGAGGGCGCGTGTATTGACAGTTCGTGGCGGCGCTGTAGTCGGGTTATCCGGAGAAAATCGAACAGCCCGCCACGTTTGGCGGAAAATGCATTTAAAATCAACGGCACTATTGCTTTTTCTTTTCTTTATTTTTTTTCACTTTGAGTGGTGCGCGCGTCAATAAGCCCACCACGATTCCGTAGTTCCGTGTGTTCGATCGAAATGTGTTTTGACTCTTGTGTGTTTTGATTTTGCGGATGGTGAACGCGTAAGGGTAGCGCCGAAATGCCTTCGACGAAACGGCAACAGAACTCTTTCTGCGCACCAGGTTGCCAAACGGGCTACATCAGAGTGAACGGCGTGAAAACGGCGTCCATTTTCGTCGTTCTAAAGGACAGTGCCATGAGAGATCTTTGGGAAAAGAACCTGCAACGATCGAACAAGGTCTTGAAGAAACAAGTGCTGTCTGCGAGCTGCACTTCGAGCCCCGCTTCATCCTTCGAGACGACGTCCCCTTAATTGGCGGAAAGGAAGTGAGGATTCCTTGTGGACCGCCCCGTGCTTACGCCAGATGCGGTGCCGACTCTGCTGCCAAGTGTACCCCTGGGGTAGAGTGTACTAGAAAGTACGAGGGGGACGAGCTCCAGGCTGCGTTCATGGTTTCATTTGCACCTCAAGATGTGGAAAGCAATAGACCGATCTCACCAGCCAGTTTGACTACGCCACCGCTGCCGCAGTACATCGAGGGAACTTTAGTCTTTCTGCACGTGCGACAACCCCGCTGGAGCTCTGCGAGTGTGGAGCACCAAACGGCACGAGCCCTCGCATGCACGGCCGTCTGATTCCTGTGAACTAAAGTTATGGCGTCGTGACGCATGCGCCGAAAGCTTAGTGAGATCGGTCTCTCAGGTGAAACCAAGCCACTTCGATCGCAGCGCCACGTCGACGAACTGAAACCAAGCGTCCTTATGACGTCGCATCGACAAGGACGCCGTCATCTTGACGTCCCGTGACGTTGTCGTCGTCGTCATCAACGTCAACGTTCACATCGTCGTCGTTGTCGAAGCAATATGGCGTCAGAACGCAGTGTTGATGTTGTGTAACGCACGTTGTCAACGTCGATAACGACGCTGACGTCAAGGTGTTGTCCTGATGTCGCACGGTGTTGTGACAAGTCAGGTCGCGGTAACTTTATGTACGTGACGACTGACGTATAGGCTGTATAAAAAAACATAGTCCGGCGTTCTATCGGTTCTATGACCTTGACCAGTGTGCCGGTCGAGCTTAGGTTTTTAACGAAACGCGTTTTTCATAAAAAAACGGCTAATCCAAACCACTTCGCTCGTAGCGCCAAGAGGGCGCTACAAGCGAAGTGGCTTGGATTAGCCGGTTTTTTTCCACATGCGGAGGTACCTGAGTAGCACTCCGGTGGCCCCACTCGCTCCTTCTAGTACACTCTACCTGGGGCCCTATGTTGTGCTTTTTGGACTCCCACGGCGACTAGGGAGAGGAAAGTGACGTCAACAACGCAGCAAACGCAGATTGGATGTTGATTGGTGAGAGCCGCTGATGACGAATTTCCGCCGAAGAAAACAAAGAAAAAGTGAGCTTTGTTTTCTTGCGCGGAAATTGGTCATTAGCGACTCTCACCAATCAACATCCAATCTGCGTTTGCTGCGTTGTTGACGTCACTTCCTTCTCCCTTGTCGCCGTGGGAGTCCAAAAAGCGCCACATAGGGCCCCAGGACCTGATTGGTGACCCCCCGTAGGACGAGAGGAAAGGAAGCGGAAGGTGACTCCACCGCCATCATTGCAAAGCGCTCGGGCCTCGCTCGGGAAACTGACCCGTTGTCACTAGACGTGAACAGCGAAGCTCATGCCGTGATCCCACAAGGCATCGATCGCGACCGACTGGGCTCCCTGAATATGCCAACTTCCTAGTGGGGTGTTCACAAGTTCAGCAACTTCGACGGGGTTGCTTATTTGGAGACTGCTCTTAAGCCGAAGTCTAACAAGATCAGCATCGAAAGGGCGGTGTTCATTTGTTTCGACAAATTACCTGATGTGGTATGGCAAGTATACTTTCAGGGCCATGTATGCGCTGCACACCATGTATGCACTCCACATTCTAACCATGTATTGCAATTCCGTGCTATAAATTATTACAACTTTTACCTTGTCTTATTTACGTGTGCTGTTGTTTCCTGGTCTAAATGATCTGAAATAGTTGCTTGTTTTCTTCTTTGAATCTTATAAAGCATTACCATTTCAGCCCAAGTTGTCTCTGTTTTTGGACTTAAGTTCCACGTTGAAACACGTGATAAAAATTGTCACGGCTCATAAGCCATTTTTTACAAGTGAATGTCGGGCGGTCCTCGGATGGTCGTGGCAGCCATGAAGAAATATAAGATTCTCATTTCTTTGCGACCGTCGCTTGGGTGGTTTGTCGCATAAATGAGCACAAGAATGAGTGACAAGTGAAGCGAGGTGATTAAGGTCAAGAAGAAGACAGGCAGAAAAGAAGACAGAGAAGTTAACCTGGGGTATTTAAAAACATACTAAAACAATCTCGGGCTTTAGTGTGTGCCGTTTCGTTAGACCATATAATAAAATAGCAAAAAAAAAAAAAAAAAAAAAAAACAAGAAAAAAAAAACGGCTTTTGAGTTTTAAATTTTCCCGCCAAATATCTAACGTTTGGCCTTTTGCGACCAAGGAAATTGGCATTTCATTTAAAATGCTCACCACCCAACGAATCGAAAGTCGCAGCTAATTCTACGCTGAAACAACTTGCAATCCGCTTCTTTAAAGTCGGAATTGTTTCTATGTAAAGGCAGTGTAATTTAGCTTGTACCATCCAATACACTGAAGCATCATGTTGCCGACGGTCGTGCCGCAGCGTAATTGATGCCGCGGTACGACCACTGGCAGGTCATAGCTGCATCAGAAATCCTTTGCGCACTGTACCAGAGCTGCACCAAAAATTCAAATTTTCGCGCCATCACCTGCGCATGCGCACACCTTCTGGGTAACGCGCCGGTGTCGACACTTGTCGCGATTAATACAACGCGCCTCAGGCGAGCCGCTCCGGTCCCAACACTACCCAAGTATTCTAGTACACTGTAGTTAGGGCATATATGGTCGACGATAAGCGCGATTACTTTCTCAGTGTGAGGCAATAAAGAGTAACAAGGAATATCTGACACGGCGAGCTCGTAAGGCACCGCGGCCACGTGAAATTCATCTGCTGTCCGTTCTTTACGCGTATTTTATTTGAACACAATAGCTTAACGCGATTTAAGAAAAAAAAAAAAATACAACAGGTGTAGCGTACCCGGTTCGATACAAGACGGAAGTAGCGGTCGCCGGGAAACACCCTTTTAATCAAGCTGACCCGCTTGCATCGCTATCGGCGCGAATGCCGAACAGCATGCGAGACGCGATCGGGTTTGCGTTTACCTCAAAACGCGTGTGCTTTGTGGTCCCTTACGGCTGCCGCCTATCCGATCCGGCAAACGAGAGCGCGACGCAAAATGCGTACAAAGTAGGCGCCGGCCGGCATTTACCATATAGACAGAAAAAAAAAAAAAAGCTTTGTTACACGAAATGAGAAGCGAAGGTCAGCACAACGCGAGGTTGTATGGCTGGAGAAACTTGACACCTAACCTATAAAACAAGCCATGCGCCTTTCCATCACAAACGCCATCACCAGTTGCTTGTTTTATTCTTTGAGTCTTATAAAGCATTACCTTTCAGCCCACGTTGTCTCTGTTTTTGTACTTAAGTTTGATGTAAAAACACGTGATAAAAATTGTCACGGCTTATACGCCATTTCTTACAAGTGAATCCAGTGATTACCCCTGCACCCCCCCCCCCCCCCCCCCAACCTTCCAGAAAAGCGTCCATATTGTGTTGTTTATTATCATGAGAAAAAAATGCATATATTTAGGCAGTACGTCCCACAAAATGTCTACGCCGCGTGGTATCAATATTTTAACGGGACATGGCTGTATCAACTTTGACGATGTTGGTTTAAAATCTCGATTGGCTTCAAACTTCCACCATAGTTTTTACATACAGCACCGAACCTGTCACCAACAAAACCATTTCGGCACAACACTAATTATATATGAATGTATATGAAGTGTGTTTTGTTCCACTGTACTAAAGGCCTACTTTGTCAATAGCACAAAAGGAAAAAAAAACAAAAAAACACTCGTGTCAATCAGCTGACAAAAGAAATTCGGCTTTCTGGGGAACTCGAGAAGTGTTCCACAGTACAGCATGTTCATCAGAATGTTCTGGTGTACTTGGTTTTTATGTCGCTTGGGTGGCAGTATGTCGTCGGGACTGCCCCAATATCATTAATGTAGTTTTGGGCTTAGTCCTTCGAAAGTATAGGCTGGTCCAAGTCACCAGGCTCGATATAAACTGGACCGTAAAAATCGACGCCTGCACGTAGCCATCTAAAAATTTTGTCAAAGGTGTATTTCACAGGTAGGTTGTTTTTTGGTGTCTTTTTTTTAAATTACAAAGTGTAGTCTTCCTTTAGTAAAAAAAAAAGTGGCCAAGAAACTTGCAGGGCCTAGGGCGCGCAGCGACCACGGTGTAAGATACAATCTTTAGGTGAGGACACGGCGGGGCTGAACGCGTGGCGCGAGGAATCAGATAGTGTTTGTTCGACGGGCATCCGAAAGGCTGCATCATTCCGCTGCCACCGTGCCAGCGGCTGACAGTGTCGCCGGCGGCCAAACGGGGAAACTATGTGAGAGCGAAAAAAATTATCTCGTTGCCATGACACCCCGGTACACCGTGGTCTTTCTGCACGTGCGACCACCTCGCTGGAGCTCTGCGCGTGTGATACATGAGGCGGCACGAGCCGTCTTGTACGTGCCCAATGGTCGACGAGTTACCTGCCGGCGCCGCTTGAAACCATAGTGAGAGAGAGTGAAGAGCGAACTTTATCGGGCACGTCGCGAGGAGCGCGCTGTCCTCACCTGAAGAGTATTATCTTACACCGTGGTAGCGACCCAGACGACCAAGTCCAGTAACGGGGTGTGTTTGCCACTCGTATTGATAGATGGCGTCGGGAGCAGCGTCTGAAGGTGCAGCCGACCAGCGAAAGATAGCAGACGACTCGCAGACGAAATACGTTTGCAGCAAAAGCGCCGCCGTTATGCAGACGCGTTTTTTTATTTTAAGTGTTGCTGTTATTGTCCGCATTTATCTTTTAACCGAAGGTTCATTTCAAAAAGATTATGTTCATTTTAATAAATCACGGTGGTCGCGAGCCGTTGCGATAAGGAGGTAGCGCTATCTATCAATACGAGCGCTAAACACACCCCGCTACTGGACCCCTGTTGTCTGCGTCGCTGCCCGCTGTACACCTTGGCCAGTTTCTTGGCTTTATTTTTGACAGAAAGTGATCTACGCTTTATAATTTTACAGGAACAAACCGACCTGTGAAATGCACCTTTGACTAAAAGTTCAGACTGCTACGAGCAGGCGTCGATATGAGACGGTCCTATTTAGATCGAGCCTCGTGACTTGAACCTTCCTATATATTCGTCTTACGCAAGTGGGGTACGCACCGTTCAACATCCCAAGGATGCCGCTAAAAAATGTCGTCCGTCCGATGTCCTTCTGTCATACATATACACATATAGTTTGGCTGACTTTGTTGATCAGTGTGATCACTTTTGAACCAGTCGTGCTAAAAACCATAGAAGAAAGAATGGATAGTTGGGCGAGATGGTGGGAATTCATGGTGGAAACAGCGCAAAAACACGACGACATATAAGAAACGCACAAGACGAGCGCTGGTAGTCAGCGCTCGTCCCGTTCCGTGTGTTTCTTCTTCATCATGGTGTTTTCGCGCTGTTTCCACGATGACTAAAACGCCTGTTGAGGATTCGTCCAATATCCGCTACCCTAACTCGTGTGAGCCTGAAAATAACCGGAATAGTTATTTAACTATTTTACCTATCTCCTGAATCTGGCCCGCGGTCCCATGAAAGCCTATCGCGGGAGAGTCGAACGTCAGTTACTTGTATTGAATGGCGACAAGACGGCTATGTTTAGACCTCGAAAAATGTCATGTGACCTGGAACGCAAGGATAGATATCAGTGATCAGCGCTAAGCGCCCCCCCCCCCCCCCCCCCTCAAAAAAAAAAAAAGAGCACACGCGCGGACCGTTATCATAAAGAAATCTCAGATACAATAAAAATCAATCTACCTTAAAACTCCGAGTGAACGCCCACCCACGATGGAGAGGTAAAAAAAAATGAGGTGTACAACCATTCTGGGGTGGGCGATCGTTTGGAATTTTAAGTTGGTAATTATTGAACAATGTGTGGAACAAAGCTATGAGCTAGGTGGAAATAAATATTACCAGCATATACTTTGTAACCATTCGATACAAAGAGATTACAAAAAGACTAACACCTTACCGGGGCAGCATTGAAGTGAACGTGCCCAGTATAGACAAGAAAATGGGATCCACCCAGGTTGCACGGTTTTTTAAGTCAAAATTTGTTCTTTTGTCTGGCAATTTAAGGTTCCGAAAGTCAAAACAGCCAATGTACAACCTAGTTTACCTCGGAACTAACTAACGCCTTGGAGCAAAACCTTATCAGGCCAAAATTAGGCTCCTAGGTTTGCTAACTTGAACAAAGGCGTTTCTCCTTCCTACTGCCCGCGCTCGACGTGAATCGCCACCCACCTTTTCCTTGGCGAGTTCCCTGGTTTCTCGATCCATCCACTTGAGCATGGGCAGGTTGTTCTTGAAAGCGTCCTTAACTTCTTGAATCATGTTTTGTGCCTGTGACGAATCAAACAAAGCGAAAAGATAAAACGACATCCAGGGAGTGAGCATCTACTTTTGAATTCACATATTCTGCTGTGAATGTTAGCATGTTTGAGTAAAACTTCGTGTCAATGTAACTTTTGAGCGAAACAAATTGAGGAGCATCAAAAGCGCCTTCAACACTAAACAAATGCATATTATCATACTGCAATCCAAGAATTCGCCTATGCCCGAAGCATTCAGTTTAAATTATATGCACACTGCGGGCGAGACATGACTCCCGCATTTGTAATAAGACAGAAAACGGTGCCAGTTGACCTAGAGTTTTCTTTTCTTGTTGCAGTCAACCTATGCGTCGAGAAAGTGAAGGAGAGGAGGAATTAGAGCGGAGGAGGACGTCAGAATGCCGAGCTCTTGTTGGAATGATTAGTGGGTCGACCTAAGCCTAGCTGCCTTTTTCTCCACTGCACTCGCCGAACGCGTTCGAATGCAAGAACCAAACGCCGGACCCCTGGGGTCCGCATTTTAACGCGTTCGACGAGTGCAGTGGAGATAAAGGCTGCTAGCTTTAGGTCTACCCACTAATCCTTCAAATCAGAGCTCAGCGTTCTGACGTCCCTACGCGTTCTCGTCCTTTCCTTTTCCTGGTTTTCTCGGCGCATACTCCATTTCATACTAGAGTGCAAAGCTGCCAAACCTGCTGGAGCAGGCCTGTGTCGGGATTTAGCCTCTTGACTCGCACGTGTTCTTGTGCGAATGAGACGCTAAAAAAACATGCAATCGCGCCATAATCTCCTGACAGCGTTGTCAATTAAGTATGAAATTGAGTATTTAGACTACACACGCAAACGTACAACCAATAGAGCGATCCCACCACCGAGTTTCGTTACGCCGGGGCTGCCGCAATGCGTCGAGGGCAGTTCAGTGTTTTTGAACGTGGAACAACCTCACTGGAGCTCTGCGCGCACAGAGCACGAAACGAACCGTGCCGTCTCGTGCACTGCCGCCTGCCTCCTGTGAACTAAAGTTAAGGCGGTGTCACGCATGCGTGGAACGCTTAGTGAGATCGGTCTATTACGCACACTGTACAACAATATCCATATTCGAATACGTTTTCTATTCGTTTGGCGTTCGTTTGTTTGACTGCCGCATCGCCGTTAGGGCAGAAGAAGATTTGTTACATCTGTACACACGAGTATAGTCGTTGGAGATTAATAGCCATATACCGATTCTAAGCTCCACGATGCGCAGTACGTAAACTGCATCACGTTGGCTATATAAAACGGCGAAAACGGGGAATGATACAGCACAATTTTATTTTGAAACACTTCTAGCACCTCTCAACAAAGTATTCTTGAACCAGCGAGTAGATGCGCTTGAGGTTGGTGATTGTCGGTTGTCACTGATTGCCACTCAACTGTCACCGGGACGTTAATGGTTCTAGTTTTTGCCTCCAAGTATGGAGGAAGAAGCGACCGTCGTTCTTGCAGGAGACGCGATGGAGACGCCGCACACGTGCCGCTGAGCGCCTCCCGTGAAGCCTTGGAAGTGTGTACGCGTGCGCGCTGCGTCGAGGGCAGGGTGTAAGATAGACAGGTGGGGAAACGGCCCATAGAAACCTACCGCAGCGCCGTGACCGGATTGTGTACTCGTCTGCTTGCGGGTACCCCCGATTTGCGACAGATGGCGCTGCGGCAAGAAGAAAAAAAATTGGAATCGAATTTGCATGGAACTTTATGGGAAAGTGCGCAAAATAAACCGAGAGCACAACAGTCCTGCATTGAAAATCCACGAGAAACCTTCTCCGTCAGTTTAGCCGATCGCCACTGTTCGCCCACCCGGAGTGAGAGTTCGCGGTGCTCCACATAGATGGCGCCACAGAAAAAGAGAAAACCGAGGGGGACACAATCCGGTCGCTCATTTGGCTCTCGTTTCCCCACCTGTCTATCTTACACCCTGGTCGAGGGTCGTCGTGGCGTCAGTTTGTACACGGTCGGTTTAAAACGGCGCTTGCGTTATAGAAAGAACGCAAATACAAGTGTCTAAGTCGCACACACAATGTCCAAAGGTTGACGAAGCTTCCTGTTCATCAGACTCCTGTGTAAGATCTACATTTTGCGGACGCAGAGCGAAGGATATGTTTCGGCCCAAAACACGGCACTCTGCAAGGTGGCTTTCCCGCGAGCGTGTTAGGCATCTTTCGCGCATTTGACCCCTTGTCCGCCAATGAGGACTTCGGGCGATCTAGAGGTGAAAGAAGGCAGTACTGTGGCTCAGCCATTGAGTTTCTCGAGTTCCAACGACCAGGAGTGTTGCTCGTATCCCAATGCGTACGGAGGCCAAAGAAACGAACGCAGATTTTTGCGCTAATATGGTCGCGGCATTGCAACATTGCGAGCGGGGACATTCCGAATGAAAAGTGGGGACGCATGCACAGCCTATCTAGCTGCGAGGAGGCAAGGGCCACAGAAGTGGCGGCGGGTGCGTGGGAAGGAGGAGGCTCAAATGCCCGAAGCCAAGTGCAGCCACAGCGAATATTGTGCCGAGTCACAGATACACACACAGACACACGCGCGCACAAACAGGACAAGCGCGTGCGCCAGCTGCCTGGGAGTGGGAGTGATGGGTAAGGAAAAGAAGAGGCTATTTACCATTCTTGTCACCCCAGCAGGCTTTTAGCAGCAATAAATTTGGTTTACAAAATGGGTAAGATGGGATGGGTCGCTGCTTTCTTTTATTCGTTTTCTTTTTTTCTTTTTTCACTTGGCACACGACAAAAATTTGGAGAATGGTAGAATTGAAAATTACGGTATATGATTTTCGAAGAGCTCTCATTGCGAAGTTTACGTTTTACGTCACAGAAAGACAACTGGCTCGGAATTGTCTGAGATGATGGCTAGTTCACATGCAAATGTATTAAAAAAAGACGTCCCAAACATGTCTCGTAATAATTTAAAAGATCTTGTGTTTTTTAAGAAACATAAAAAAGAAGCACAGATGTTTGGCTGTTTACTCTATATCGTGCTGAAGGCGTTTAAAGAAAACTTCTAAACAAAAATTCAACCAACACAAAAATGTAATCAGTTACTTCAATTTTATACTATCCCTTTACGCAACGGCATATTATTGTCATTCTTAAATCAGCCCCCATACTGGTAGATGGAACTTCAACAATTAAAGAAACAAACTCATTCTTTCAAATGTACCTTATTTTCCAGCTGTCACTTCGAAACAGATATTCAAATTACTTTTAGTACAATTGAGGGTGTTTATCCAATCAAATCAGTATTTAGATTCGTCGAACATTTACTGTATTTCTTTCCTTATCGATCTACCCAAAACCGCAATTTCCAAAGACTCGTTGAATTTAATACTGCTACGACACCCTACATATTTAGTTCAATTCATCGAAGTGCCACGACCTTAACAAGATCCTACTGCGCTTTGCTTCATAGTTCTTACGGATTGCATTTCAGGGCATGCACTACCATCCACAATTTTTCGGCAATTTCCCTCATCACACACAATGTTTTCGCTCAAAATAAAAGGCTACCAAATTGATCTTAATATTTTACACAAGCACCCCCAAACAACGCTCGCTTTAACAAGAAGAGAAACGGAGGATACGAGGACCAAGGGGGCTGCATAGCTTAACAAGGCCAGCAAGCGCAGAGAAGGCTGCCAGATCAAGCAGAGGACCCAGATCAACACCACCTAGAATAATCAAAGCCATGAACTGGCTACTCTTCCCCCACGTAACCTCATCACGCTCGGATGGGAATTAAACTTTTAACAAAGACGTCAATAGGTTAGGCATTTATCATACTCAAATTTCATAAGTTTAGGTTTCATAAAAGAAAACTTTTCAAACCTAAAACAAACCCTGTTTTTTGTGTTGTTGTTTTTTTTTTTGCTTTTTTTTTTTTGTATGTGCAGGGAGGGAAACGGTGAAAACCGTCCCGTTGACGCTACTACTTGCAGGTGAGACAACATAAAAAAAAAAAATAAAAAAAAACTTCTTTGAGATTAACACTTGCAAGCAGATCCAGCAAATTCGAGCGTGTGCGGTTACGATTTGTGAGTACAGCAGATTCAACCAGACGGTTTTAACCGTTTTCCTCCCTGTTCATAAAAAAAAAAAAAAAAGATAACAATAATGTTCCAAATTTGTCATTTTTTTCCTGGCATCCATACTGATGAAATTTCGGTGTGATAAACGAACCATCTTAATGGACACCCGAAATATTTTAATGCATCATTTTCATTTGTTTCTTCATACGAACTTTTTTACGCCCGAATGGCGCTCAGGATTGAGATGGAGAGAATATGCGCTCGATCTCACTGCGGTTACGTCGAAGTGCTAGTACTCGGGCTTCGATTATTCTAGGTGACGTTGGCCCGACCCAGCGGTTACGATATGAAGAAGTTAAGAAGGCCACGTGGCAGAAGCAGTCCTCAAGAAAGCCGGAACCACCACCATGCTCTGGGAGGAAAGAAGCGAGAAGAAAACTCACAAGGGGTTTGCTGTCTCCGTCGAAGACCTCCCTCACGAACATGGCGCCCAGCGCGAAGCCGATGACCGCATTGGTGTCGGTCACGCAGTATCGCCAGGCAGTATCCGAGCCGTCCGAGCCCATGAGGGCCTTCCGCAGCACCTTGGACGCCTCCCGGAATGGCTCCGACAGGTACGACACCATCGAATGGACCATGCTCCAGGCCAGGTAGTTGCAGATGATCCTGGAGGAGGCCAAGGACGAACGACGACGGATTGTAGACTGCTGATGCTCTAACAAATTGCGTCATCGAGCGTCGCTACATTATTCTTAATTTTGATGTCCTGGAAATGAAGCTTCTAGGTACTGTCACCAGCGGCTGAAGAAAGGCAGGGCGTGGGGAGGTTCCATCATCTAAGTATCGCTCCGGGGCCATTAAGATGGCGCGTTTGCCGATAAGAGCGCCAAAGAAGACGAGGCAAGGAACGTGAATATTAGAAGTCACGCCCTGGCGTTTCTATAGTTGTTGGGGGCTGTCGAATCCGTACAATTGCAGCACACGTTTCGCCAAGGCACAGTGGGGCCAAGACGCAGCTTCTGCGGAACGTCTGTCGCGACATAATAACCGTGGGAAAAGCCCTGAAGAAACAACGTTCCGCTTCATGCCTAGTGTGCCGAGTCGCATTCAACATAACGTGGAGCTCATTTCGTGTGCGCCAATATAAAAACAAAACAAACACAAACAAAGCGCTGAAGGGTGTTCCTCTTTTCTCGTGACGTTAGAAAAATATGGCGCGTTCGTGCTGAGTGGCGCAGTGGTGCCCTTTCTCTCCGTGAATTCGGCGTTGGGGGCTCCCCTCCAATTCTGATGTTGCGGCTGACTAAAATTACTGAGTATAGGGCGTGGCTTATTGTGTTCAGGAACCCTTGCCTCAAGCTTTTCTGCTTTCTCGTGGGATAATGTTTGCCATCTCATTAACTGGGAAGCAAGACGTAGGTGACTCGCCCAGCGTTTTATTAATCTGGGGAAAGCACGAGCTAATCCCAGCCACGGCCACTCGATTAGGACTCCCCGTGTCCCAGCACAGGTCAGGAAAATCATACGCTGATCAATCCGAGGGAGACAAATTGATACAACTATACGAAGCTACGCGTAAAGCTAGTTCACTCGCTATTTCTTACGCCTCCCCCCCCCCCCCCCCCCAGATGTGTGGTTTTCATCGACGAAAAAGAAAAGCTCAAACGAGCTACAGGGGGCTATACTCGGTTTCACCTAACAATAAACCGCAGCGGAGGCTACGAGACATCGGAGGCAATAAGAGGTTGTCTGTGTATCACGTGACCTTTGGGAGGGGCTCAGCGACGAGAGGGGCTCGCAGTCACGTGCTATTTTCACAGCGCTGGACTGGCCATGACGATAAAGCGCGAAACACATGTACGACGAAACCGTCCGATCCGACGTGCGGACTGCCGGAATGACCTTGGGGGGCGAGGGTTTTCGAAGCATCGGAGAGAGTTGAAAACCCTCGCCTCCGACCGTCGTATTGCGTGGTCGGACGTCGGATCGGACGGTTTCGTCGCACATGTGTTTCGCGCTTAAATCGCGAACGCTGCGGTCCATCGGGGTGTTCCGACCCAGGGCCTGAGTATAGACGCCAGACGCACGCACACTTTGCCTTTGCTGGAGGCGAGGTACTCTCGCACCAGGTCCGTCATGTTGGCCATGTACTCCGGCGCGTAGACGACAACCTCCTGCGTGTCCGGGATGGTCTTGTTGATCTGCGAGAAGGCGCTGTTGAAGTACGCCGTCCAGTTGAGCAGCGGGGCGCCCGCCTGCAGCTCGGCCACCGTCATCTTGTGGTACAGGCGCTCGTCGTCGCGCCGCTCCTCCGCAGGAACCGTGATCTGCGCACGAGGTGACACCAGCACGCGGTTGGAACCCACATCTCCGTTCGAAGGGCGACTGTACCCATGCGACGTATCGAGTGGCGTTTCTCGAGTGAACTTGGGGCAGTGGCGAATCGGTGCGCGATCCTCAAGTCTATGCAATATAGAGCGTCTACTTTGCCGCAAAGCGCTTCGAATTTCCCCATGCTCAGTATGAAGTACAGCACAGTCTGTATTTTTTGTTTGTTTTTGTTTTGAAATATTGTATGTTTTGCCATTAGACGAGCTATCCCCGAACATAGCAAAGATTTACTTTCCCAATTGCTTTGCGGGAAAGTAGGCGCATCAGATTTCTTAGAATAAACAAATGGAGCATTGCACGACACTGGGTAAAGCGCTATCTGAGGAGTTTTGCACAGTGTAATGTTTTTGGTTGTTTTTTTCGGTCCGAAGAACGGATTTGCAGTAGAGCCATAGTTACGTGGTAAAAATGACTACTAAAGTTGCTCTGGAAGCGAGGCCCAGCAGACAGTTTGTGGTTGCCTGGTGGCGTACTTCACAACTACTCGAATCAAAAGCAAGGAGATCGTAACTATGTCCTTCGAGGCAATATCGTTGTAAAAAAAAAACATGTTTTTAGATTTTTTTATTGTATTTTTTTGTTTAACCCTCTAAGTTCCTTGGACAAGCTGAGTTAGTCGGCGGCTTTCTGGTTGAAAATGCCACGGACGAGCTCAGCTCGTCCAGTGGTTTTTTCCTCGAGCCTTCTTTTTTACGGACGAGCTAGGCTCGTCAGAGTGGTTTGCGGCGCGGATCTTATATGGCAACAGTCGTTTTAGTTTGCGTCTTTTTTTTTTCTGCCGTTGGTAGGATACGTGAGAAAATACTCTGGCAACAGTCATTTAAAAAATGGCATCGCTAGACAACGGAGCACGCGAATCTTCATCGCGAAAAAGAAAAGAGATGAGATCGCTGAAGTAAAAGCTCGAGTTTATTGTCAATAGTTTATAAGGAGGATTTCTATTGTTCTTTGATTGTTCCTAGTTAATTATTCGGAAGTCGCTAATTGCAGTTGAGTTTTTTTCTTTGCTTCACGACATTTCCTGGGCGAACTCTTGACGTTCTTCGTCACGTAATAAAATAATATTCTTAGCTTGACGATAGTTGAATATTGATAGTTTCCCGATAGTCGACTGTCATTAGTTTTACGAGATCCAACTATCGAGAGTTCACTATCGATAATTTCACGATAGTTAACTATCGATAGTTCCACGATAGTAGACTATTGATTGTTTCATGGTAGCTATTGATAGCACTACTATTGATAGATTCACGATAGTCGACCATCGATAGTACCATCGATAGTTCCTTTGAGTATCGATAGTTAGATTTGGCTTCGACTGTCGATTGTATCGATAGTTTTGCATCACTACTAAGCCGACTTGTGCCTATCTCAAATACTCTATTCAAGATACTGTATTTAATATACTTTTTGAAGTGCCTTGGTATCTTGCAATTACTCTTGATCGAGAGCATTTGGTACTCTATTTTAATTACATTTCTGGGTATCTTGTATATATTGTATAAATGTATCTCATATACTTTTTTTTTACATTCCTTCATTTTACGATTTTTTTTTTTTTTTATGAAGTGGCGTGGGCGTGGCACGAGCAAACCTGAACATTCTTTCGAGCCAGCAAATCTTGTTGCTACCTCCGATTAGCTACGGTGACTTTAACTGAGCTCATAAAAAAACAGTTTTTTTTTTTTTGTTTGTGATTCATATTTCAGCCCGAAGTTCGTACAATGAAGGTTTTCCCATCACCTTCCCAAAGGCGCCTTTTGTTTTTTCCTAGAGTTTCTCCCGAAAGATCCTTAGACGGAAAGGGTTTTTTTATGGAAGTAAAGATTGCCACACTGAGGAGCAACGCAGACTCGGAAACGACCTACGACAACAATGCAGACTTAAGTGCCAGAAAAAATGAGAAGTAAACACACACACACACACACACACAAAAAAAAATGTTTTGCTTGTTTTTATATTTAACCCCATAACGGCAAAACGTCGAGGTTTTCTTTTGTTTATTTTCCTTTTGTCGTCAGTCCGTCACTTATTGCTCTCGCGAATACTATCTGTAAGCGAACATTGATAAGCAGATAATAGGACAGGAAACCAGCTTAAAGCTGGATGACTTCTCGAAATGGCTACAAAGCGTCCCCGAACGTTGAGTGCCTTTCTGAAAGCAACCTACTTGAAGAAAATGCGGCCACTGCCGGGGCTATTATCTGGGTTCTCTTTGTTATCCATTCACTCATATCCGTATCCCAAGTTCCTTTATAGTGAACTCCCCATATAGGGAATATGGATTGTAGTTAAACGATGTGTCTAAAGTGCGCTGCAGGACGTGATATTCATCGATGTAACTATAACTAAAGCGAGCCCTTTATTTCTGTCCCAAAAAAATGTTTTGTAACATGTATCAGTGATATTATCACGCGCGTTGCCGAGCGAGTGCGTGGTCGAATGGTCACCGCGCTTGGTTTCACGCGCGGAGCCTCCGGGTTCACTTCCAGGGAGCCAACTCCTTTTTTGTTTATTCTTTCAACTTGACATTTTCGTAAGTTCGAGAACCTTAATTGTCGTGTGATCGAGTTTCGAATGTTATACGCACTGAGCTTTCTACGCCGAATGTTCCAGAAACCCAAGCGGGTACAAAAGGGGCTCCGCCTGGTGGTCCGGAGTCAGTCTCCCCCCAGCACTCGATCCTGCTGTTTCGCCGACATCGACGCCTGCGACGCTACCTTTTTCTACTTTGTTTTGGGCACAAGTTCGCCCCATTAAACGTTTAGTTTCATCATTCTCATCATTTGTCATTCGTGACAATATCCTGCTGCTTATAGTTGGACTACATAAAATAGCCCTACGATATTTCCTTTTCCTTTTCCCTTTTGTGTTGTTGCGTGCTAATAAACCATTCTTGTTAACCAGATTTGTGGAACTGTATAATTGCCGTTGCCATTGACGTCGATACGAATTACGCAATGCGGAAGTATCTTCAAAAGTAATTGAATTACATTTCTAAGCATTGTACTCTACTCAAGATACTTTACTGTGAAAGTAACTTTAGTAGTATTTTAAATACTTTATGAAGAAATTATTTAGTAACTTGACTTAAATACTTTCATCGAGTATTTTGTCCAACACTGCTACTGAGTAGGCAACCCTTTTCTACACTCGAGCGTCGCCACCTTACCACAGAAGAAATGGTGGCACTGCGAAAGCGTCGCTTAAAGCTTATTTCTTTTGTTTCTTTTTAGTGTTCGGCAAGAAACTGGCATTTGTCGCGCGAGCGGTGTTACGCAACAAAGTATCTTTCTCTGACAAGACCCCGTCGATTTAAGAAATCATTGAAATGTATTGCCAGAAATTAATTCCGTTCAACGTCGAGTTAGCGTTCACTTCAGTACCCAGACAGGAGTAAAAGGGCAGGCGTGATAGTGTGGATCAAACACGCGAACCGAATACAGGGTTGGCTTCTTCAGTACCGGCCCGGAATTCGATTCCGGAACTTTTCGATTCCGTAATTATTTTCCAGCTCGCTTGCACCTTTGCATAAATTGCATTAACATGATAACGTTAAAATTCAGGCCCTTCACCCTCGTTGGTGTTAGACTGGCGGCAGCTGATAAAACCCGTTTGCTCTACTGACGTCTAACTCCTGGTTAGCTCACTTGGTAGAGCGCTCGACTGGAAATGGAAAGGTCCCTGGTTCGATACCAGGACCAGGCGGATTTATTCGGTTACGCACCATGCACTCTAAATATGCCCGTGCGTCTACTTTCCCGCACAACACTCAAAGAGCTAATCACCGCAACTTAGGAGGCAGCTCAGCGAATGACAATAAAAAAAAACACATATGTCTAGACAAAAAAAAACAAAAAAAAAAACAAACGCGGTTTGAATTGTAACATTGGGCAATGCAAAACGTCACGCTTGCATTGCTTAAAGTCACAATTCAGACTGCGTTTTTTCGTCTGAACATATGTTTCGGCATCGTCATTCGCTGAGCCTCCGTAAGCTGCGGTGATTGGCTCTCCGAGTGCTGTGCGGGAAAGTAGACGCACGTGTTTTTTTTAGAGTGTGTTCCCTTCGCTAGCTCGCTTCCAGACAGTTCAAAAAAAAAAAAAAAATTGCATTTGGAAGAGAAGCGCGGCAAATTGTGCTCAACATGTCCTACAAACTTCGTTCTGAGCATCCGAGCGAGTAGCATAGACTGATCTTTCAAAGAACGCCTGGGTTGTGGTGAATGCGGAAAACAAGCGGTTGTGACAGCGTGTCTGGTGTCGCCGGCAAGCCGCCTCGGTGGCTCCGAGGTGAGACCGCCGGCCTACGGTGGCGAGTTCGAATCCCGGCCGAGGTGCCCGCAATATGACGGAGGCGTATTGCGGAGAAGGCGCCGTGTAACCGAGCTTTCGGTTGCACGTCAAAAGCTCCCCAGGTGGTCGAAATTAATCCTCAGTCCTCCGCTGGGGCGTGCCAGATGCCCGTCGTAGGTTTGGCACGTAAAACCCCCAAATTTGACTCGGTGTCGCCGGCAAGGAGACGGTTATTCGTCAGTACCACATGTTTTTATTGCGGTTGAAAAAAAAGGACAAAAGTAGCTTCGTTCCGCCGCGCGTACTTCATCAGTCACTTCCCAGCAGCTCTCTGTAAAGTAGTGTTAGCGGTTGGCATCGGCACTTTCAAATCCGATACACGAGCCCTCGGCTGCGAGTCCATGAAAGCGAGACATTTCGCAAGGTGTTAGGTTGGAGTCAACGTTCTGTTGTCCAGGCCTACCTGGTCCCTTGCGTGACGGAAAGATCTCTAATTTTCCACGTGGCACAAGCACTGAAGCGAAGTTTCTGCGGAACTTGCTTCTGCTCGATGTGCAGGCCTCAGTGTCGGTGCCGTCGGTGCCATCCCTCCGATCCCTCTCACAAAATAAAGACTGCACAGCTGCATGTTCACTTCGATACGGCAAGAGGTTCGAGCCACTACCACCAAAGGTACTTGAGTTTCCGCAGTAAATCGAGCAAAGTACACGAAGTCCGAATGTTCTCAAACACAGCTAGCAAAAACGTTTCATCCGCACCGCGTCCACGCCGGACCGGCGTGATTTTAACTCGCACACTGATAGGCACCGGAAGAGCAAGTGACGTCACGTCTAATTTGGCGCTTGATTGGCTGAGGAGGCCCCTAGCCTTCCGCTGCTGTTCAACACATGATGAAATGAAGTCTAGTACTGGAATTATCTATTTTTAAACACCATAAGGGGTATTCCCTACAAAAGCGAGAGTGTGTTAACGCACCACAGCCCAGGGAGAGCGGACCAAAGCTTCCACTAGAACTTAGGTTCAAACCTCTCTCCTGCCCGTTTTGACCTAAATCAGTTAATTCATATCGAGATGCGGCCGTGTGTGTAGCACTTCTACGGCATGCACGTTGAAGGCTGTCAGTCGTATTGCGCTGGTTAGATTTGTCATCTATAGCATGAGCCAGTGCCGCCGTGCATGGGCAGACAAACTCCACGTAGTGTAAGTAAATAACGCCTAACTGGTTTTTAAAGCAAAATGTGTTTATCAGCCGAATTTTATTAGACAACTGTCAAAAGAACCGTCACGAAGGACTGTGGCATCACGTGACATCATGTCGTCACGCGAAGTCACGTTCTCACGTGACTATGACGTCACATGTTGCACGTACAACTCAACAATATTAGATTATAAATAGCTCAGTGACGGAACTTCAAATAGACGCTGCTTGCACAAGCAGTATCCCCCCTCACTCACCACGACTCGCCTCCCGTTGTGTGATGCGCCGGACGGTTGCTATGGTAACCGCAGTGTATTCTATGCAATACGTGCGTTCGAAGCACAACGTCTAGGTGGCGGTCCGCCACACTGTATGGAACACGCAGTTAAACGACGGGAGGCGGACTGACGTGGAAATTGGGTAGGGGGGGGGGGGGGGGGGGGCGGTTCCTCTTTTCCCAACTGAGGTAACCCAATAACGTTGGTATCACCTTTGTGTCACGTGATACCGTGACGTCATAATGTCACGTGACATCATGACTTCACATGACATGACGTCACGTTGCGCTATGAGGTCACGCGCTAATCAGTGACGTTACGTGACGATATACTCTTATCTGACAGCCGACGTTACTAGATTAGATTAGAGTTGATTTAGTAACGTACACTGTGACGTCACGTGACACCATGACACCATATGACGTCACACTCATGTGACTTCAAGACGTCAAGTGACATCACAGCAGGCTTGCCATTCTGTGGTCCACAGACTTTGTTTGCATGATAAAGCTAGTGTATTTTTTTCTGGGGGTGCCCGAATGCCGGTTCGAATCAAATAGCACTACGTCATTCATAACCTTCGCAGCGATGTTGCGGATTTTCCACTCCGGAGTTGGAATGATTCTGGAATCATTCTGCCTTCCGGCGACTACGGAATGGAATGGGGATGAAATGACGGCAGTACTGGGAGGAATGGAATGGCAATGGAATTAGGTGCATTTTACCCGTAATAAAGTGGGAATGGAACGGGCTTTCTTCTTACGCGAGCTGTGTCGATGTGGACAAAGGGGCTTTCGAAACATCATCATTGCACTTGAGGTAACTGAAGGCTTCGTTATCTGATCGGCTAATGTTCCTTAGAGGATGAAGCAGCCAAAAATGTAGAGTTGTAGGCGAACAAGGTATTGTTCCCGGCGCCGCGAGTCGCAAAAATGTGACTGTAGTGACCATGTGCGATTACACCACCAGTCGTAGCCCACCGAACAGGGCCAATGCTACACCGCCCCCGTTTCTTTGACGCGTGACTCCCTGCTTGCCATGTATCTCCTAGAAATGAAGGATGTATACGGTCGTTTCGTAAAGCAAATGGGAGGTTTAAAGTTTCGCCATCTGTTACAAATCGTTTACGCTTAGTCGCGCGATCGATATCTCCAGTGCCACCGTGCCAATCGCCACCAGAGCTATATGCGACCACCGCTGGGCTCAGTATAGGATCAGTGCTCTCGAGACGTGTTTTGCCTATTTTAGCAGTTGTATATATGTGTTAGATAATGTCAGTTTTATGCTGACGTTTCTTTTTTTGTTTGTTTGTTTTTTGTTTTTTCGGGAACCTAATTTAGTTGTTAAGCTCCATTTTTCGCGGTTGGGAATTAGAGGAATAAAATAAAACAGTTAAGGGCCATTCCAACAGTGGGAATGGGCCCAGTGTTTCCATTTCGAGGAGTTAAAGGAATTAAATTCTCGAAAAATCCAATTTCTTATAACGGAGTTGGAATGGAATGGGGGTGCTCATTCCCCAACACTGGTTCACGTTGGATGGGAAACCCGCTACAACCGGTTTTCTGAACGGCTCTATTCAATTTAAACCGGTATTCGCACACCTCTATTTTGTTTTTCTTATTTTCGCCTCCGACAGTAAGTTTGATTTTTTTTCTAAGCTAATTATTACAAACCCAAAATTAAGACGTTATGGTAGGTGAGACTTTAACTAACCATGTAATTTACCTACTTAAGATATTTATTTAAAAATGTGCACTCTTTTTGTGCCTGTGTTTTTTTTTTTTTTTTTTTGTTACAAGCATGTGGGTTTTAACGGTATTTTTGCGCCTCAATGATGAATTTCACGCTTTTTTCTACCTCAATGATGGGTCAGTTTTGTGTTCGCGAGTTTATAAATCAAATTTTGAATATGAGTCGGACAAATAACAGAGAATATACAGGCATGCTGGAGAACTTTTAACAACTCCAACATCTCGTGTTCCTTTTTTGTCAGTAAGTCTGGAACGTTTAAGACGTTGAATGGCTTGGAATCTCTTGCTTTCCTTTTTGTTTTTATGATGGTACAATTTTTTTTTGCCAATTTTTTTTTAAGAATGTAAAACAGCTACAATTGCTTTTTTTTTTTTTAGCGTGTTTCACGGTTTTGATTGTTTCTTAGAGATATGTTTATATTTAGTGCGCGTGAAAGTGTTATAGGTTTTTTGTTTTCTTTCGGTGTGTATCAGTATTTTTCTAATTCTGAGTGCACGCAGAAAACTACGGGGATTGAGGCCTCAGTGAGGCCTTTTGTTTTCCCTTCCCTATCATGCTCCGATTGTGAAAATCCAAATAAACTCCAAAGTTCGAATTAACCACCCTCTATAAGCAGAAATAGCCTTTCGAAGGACCAGTCAACTACACTGAGTCAACTACACGGATGAAGTGCTGCAATAGTACCTAGTGACCGTGCATGACAAAGGCACTTCCAACGAGGCATCTTCATCCACGTGTCCTTTTCCTTTTCACCGATAGATATTTTTCTACAGGTATTTCTTTGCCCCGAGATAAACGGTTAAAGCGATTTCCTAAGCCGAAAGCACGAAACAAATCTAGCGCCACCCAATGGCTTCAAAGCGAATGTGTGCCAAGTGTAGGAGCGATTGTTGCCAGTTCGTTTGTTGCTTGCTAGATGGCGAGACCTGACAACCGACGCCCCGGAGCATTCAGACAACAATTGCTATGGAGGCGACTCTCTTCTTTGGAGCAGCGGCATTATTCGAGGTGTCGGGTAGGGTGTCGACTTGGCACACGTATCTAAACGAACTGCAAAAGTTGCGGAAGGAGCAGAACGGTGGTTTGATTCCCAAAACTTGAAGCTCGCAAACAGATATTCGCAGGCAGACAGAGAGAGCGTTGTTTCACGACCGTACCACACCCATACGTACACGTACTACACCAACATGTACGCATATACGACTGATGCACGGACGTACACATGTATATGCCTACAAGTCGTAGTTACGTTCTCGCTGTTATGTAAAATAAGCGTACAACTATTGTTTCGCGGTTAACTGCTAAATGTGTTTAGTTGACTGGTAAGTTTGTTCGTGCGTTTATTTAATTAACCTAACTCTTCCCTCTGCAGAGCAACGTACAAGGGGGTGGGGCCTCGATCATCAGGTAAAATTCCTTTAACCGTTTGCCTTCCCACCGCGGCTTAAGAAGTCGGAATGAAAATTCTTTGGATTACACATCAGATCATGTCAATTTATAATGCGGCCCACAATTGACTGAATCCGTGGATTGCCGTGCACGTGTGCGTCCGTGTGTGTGTGCATGCGCGCGTGCCGGGGCGTGTGTGTGTGCGTGCTTCTGTGCAAGTGCTTATACGTGTATGTACATGCATGCAAGTGCGTGTCTGCGCGCGTGTGAGCACGTGTTCGTGTGGGCACGTACATACGTGTGCGTATCCTTACGCAAGTCTGCGTGCCTGTGAGCGATGTGTAGGTGCTTGTGCGTGTACGTCTGCGTGTACGTCTGTTTGTGTGTGTGTCTGTGTGTTTTTGCACAATGTCTGCAACTTGTCGACCTAATCAAGCAGCTATAACACTGGGCCTGCCAATGCCACGCAATAGAATCATCTACCAATAAGGTTTACACACAACGAGAAGGGAAAGTGAATGAGGGGAAAACTCACGTTTGCTAGACGCTTCTCGAAGTCAATAACATCTTGCATCTGGGCTTTCACGGAAGCTTCTTCGCCGCCCAGGAGCACGCCGATGGCCGTCATGTAGGACAGGTACGCCGTGAGCACCTGCGGCGAGAAGGAAGACAAGTCAAATATGGCGGAAGGGCACCTGACACGGCCCATCTAAAGGCGGGATTAATACCGACAACCAGGTTCGGTTTGCTGGTGAATGCGAGTATCTCTCACATCGGTTAAAATAGCCGCAAGAGGAATTTTGAAGTCATGTGACCGGCTCCGTGGGTACAATAAACTAAAAGTACCCAGTGTTCCAGGCAAATGGCTGCCATAAATCTGTCCTCGCCTCGATTATTTCAGTCAATTTTTGCGCACGGAAAGAGGGTGGACAGGCTTCTTTTTTTATTATTCTTTCTTTCTTGTATCCAAGAAGAGCCGAAGGTAGAATGCTGGTACACCACAAGTACACTCTTTGTACAAAAAAGGAAACACAAAAACACTGGTCCTAATAAAGCTGAATGCTTAGGGCATTTTTAAACGAGCGTTCACTATCGAAGATATCAAGGCTCCGCGATGAGTGTATTAAAACTATTTTGAATACGTAACATGGGGGAAAGTGAAAAAAGGTCTTGCACATAGAACGTGTTGGGGTTGCGACTGCTCAGGCGTGGAACGGATAAAGAGAGCAGAGACACAAGCTCAGAACAACTTAATGTTTCATGTATAGCTTTGTGCAAAAATACGTGATCTCAAACATTTCGCCGAGCTACTAATATCTGCAACTTCATCCTGTGCAACATTGACTCGTGACTAAAAAAAAAATCCGCCGACCGTAATAACGGTCCTACACAATGCGCGCCAGCTTCCTCTGAACATGTTCTAACCTCTCAGAGCCTGGCACACTCAAACAGTTCCAGACCACGGAGCCGAACTGAAGTTTTGAACGCACAATAGAGGTGTAAAGCCTAACAGGACACGAGGGCTCCTTGAAATTGCGGGTAATTCTCGAAATCAAACTTAAAAGGTGGAAGCATGAACTCACGAAATTTGAAAAATGTGCATCAAAACTGAAGGTGAAATCCACATAGACGCCCAAATCCCGCACATAATCCACTCGACGTAATGGTTCATTATCTAGCTTATACAAAAATATTTAGAACACATTTTTTTGCGCGATAAAAAAATGACAAACGTTTTTCTCCTATTTAAACGCAAGGTTTGCATCTCACACGATATATCGAGATTGCAGATATGTATTTTTGCAAAAGTTCGCAATCAGCATCCGATTTGATATGTCTAAAGAAATGAATGTCATCGGCGAAATAGAGCCATTTAAAATGTTTTACATAACGATAAGGGTCATTAACAAAAATATTAAACAGCAAAGGTCTCATAGTTGAACCCTGGGGAACACCAGACGGACATGTATATGATCTCAATAACCCACCGCTAACACGAACTCTGTTAATGCGCCCAGTCAAATATGTTTTGAACCACAGACATAACGGCAAAGAAATGCCATATTCTGACAGTTTGCGAAGTAATAGTTCATAAAGCACAAGGTCAAATGCCTTGCTCAGGTCAAAATAAATGGCGTCGACCTGACCACGGTTGGCGATGATAGGACCAACGGAACTGAAATAGTGTGCCAAGTTTGGTTCCACGGACTTAGACTTAATGAAGCCATGTTGTGATTCGTTTAAAATTTCTTTAAAGTGACTAGAAAAAAGCATTTCTACTACGCTCTTAAAAAGCTTCAAAAATGACGACAGTAATGATAGTTTGCAACATCTGACGAGTTCCCTGATTTGATATTGGCATTTTGTTTTGGAAAAATACAATTTTCAAGTGAAAAATTAAAAAGGTAAGTCAAGACAGGTACAAAAGCATCCAAACAGCATTTAACAATAACTGATGGTATGGTATCAAAACCGGACGAAAGTTTTGGGTTTCAGACGCCTAACGCATTTTTTTACTGCTGCATGATCAATGCTGAAAGGGCCGAGGACGCTATCAGTCTTCGCGAAGTCAGCGCCATTAAACACGTGTGTACGTGAGCTTGCAGATTGTGTATCATAGATAAAAACAATTGAAAATTACGACGCAAACAAGTCACGTACAACAGCGGGATCGGTGTGAAAACCGGTATCATTCGCCAACGTAACGTTCCTGGTTCCCGTTTCCAGTGCAGCTTTTTCTATACTTCCAAACATTGTTAGGATTATTCAGGAAGTCATTCTGAGTGTTGTTCCTGAAGTTTTCTTTATTTTTTTTTTATAAGGAAACTTTACCTCTGCCCTCGCACAACCAAATTTCGCATACCGCATGTCCCCATTGCTACTGGCGATGAAAAAGAAATTTTAATGCGAAAGCATTAACTGTCCCATGGAGCGAGTCGACGTCATCAGTTTGAAGCGCGAAAACGGCACCTAGTTTCCCTGATCCCAAAGGTCCCATTGGCTGGCGCGCGGAGACGAGGCTCTCATTGGCCGCTGCGCGTGTCAGTTTCAACGACCACCGTCAGATGGCGCTGCGCGCCGATAAAACTTGAATGATGCTAGGGCCCTGGCTGATACGAAAGAACTACTGATCATGGGGGACTTCAATGGACATCTGCACGAACTGGATGGCTGGGAAGATGAAAATGGACGGCTACTGCTGCAGATGAGTGAAGATCTCGCCTTGGAAGTAGTTAATCTAAGAAGTTCATGTGAGGGTCAATTTACTTGGAATGCTCGCGCAAGCAAAACATGCATTGATTACGCAGTAGTGTCACATAAACTTGCTCGTTATATTGTTCAAGTTCACATAGACGAGGCTGGTGAACACAGCATCGGAAGCGACCATAACCGAATTAAGCTAATATTCTCGAAAGCAACGTGGATAACAACAAGACGAAAGCTCCATCCAACAAAATGTCTCACGCTATCTTCAAGTGCAGTTGAAAGAGTTGTGGAGGAATTTGAAAACAGCTCCACGAGGAAAAGTGCTGCTGACTACATGGGATACGTAGAAGAACTGAAGCAAATCATCCAGCAACACTCCACGAAGGCCCGAAATGGGCGAAGGCGGAGAAAGCGCTGGTGGGACGCGGAGGTTCAAGCTGCCATCCGAGTACGGAAAGAACTGAACAGAGAACACCGCATGGCCCTTCACATGGGGACCAGAGACGAAGTCGAAGTAAAATGGCAGATGTACCAGGCGCAAAAGCAAGCCGCAAAGCAACTTGTCCAGGAGAAAATGTCTCAGGCTGACTTGCAAACAATGAGAGACATTAGCTCAAGCGGGAGAGATGCGCCTAGAAAGTTCTGGAGATACCTTGGAACCTTGGACGGGAGAGATCAGAGGCTGGCTATACTCGACGAGAACAAAAGGATGACAGCAGACGAACTTGGGCATAGCCTTACAGACCACCTAGTGAAGATATTTTCGCCCCAGGGAGCACCAACACCTCAGGACATCTTACCACATCAAAATCCGGATGGTACTCCAGTTGATGTCGACGGTGGAGAAATCGGCAGGGTGTCAATCATACGCGCTTTGGCTCACCTAAAAAGTAACACCGCCCAAGGACTGGACAAGATTCCGGCAAGCGTCCTCAAAGCACTAGGGAAAGGTTCAAGGGATCAGCTGGCAGGAATTTTTGACAACATTGCCTCTGGAATAGAAGAAGTTCCTGGAGACTGGAGGAGAGGCAAAGTCGTTCTTGTTCCAAAAAAAGGTTGTGACCAGCGTTACTTCTGCAACTACAGACCACTGACCGTGACCACCACGATATATAGAACTTTCGTACATATTCTGAAGGAGCACATGACTGCATGGGCAGAGGAAGAAGGCTTGCTTACGGAACTTTAAGGAGGTTTTCGACGAGGTCGCCGGTTGGAAGATCATCTGTTTACGCTAACACAATGTATTGAGGTTGCCCGCAAGGAGCAGAGGACCCTAATATGTTGTTTTCTGGACGTCGCCAAGGCCTATGATAGTGTGCCACATGCCCAGTTGATATGTCGACTACAACATCTTGACATGCGACCAGAGTGGGTCACCCTCATCCACCGCCTATACAGTGGCAACACGGTTAGGACAAAGTTAGGTGAGGCTAACTCTGAGGAAGTGCTGGTGACAAGAGGCTTACGCCAGGGGTGCCCACTCTCTCCACTAGTATACATGCTTTACGTAACCGGACTCGAAACGCAACTGATCCGATCTGGACTGGGCTTCTCGTTGGCTCACTTAGAAGATGGTCTGACCGTCGAATGGGTTCTACCCGGACTTACCTACGCAGACGATGTAGTACTGACCGCGGCATCAGTCTGCGACATGCAGAAACTCCTAGATATCTGTACCGAGGTAGCAACGGAACTTGGATTGAAATTCAACACTAACAAGTCAGCAGCGGTGCTGTTTGCAGGTCCACAAGATCCAACATTTGGCAGTCTTCGACTCGGGGTGGACTGTGTACCTGTAATGAACTCGTAGAGGTACTTGGGCATTACACTCACAAATACAGAGGACTACTTGCAAGAGCATCACGCCCATCTCCGCCAAGCAGCCATCAGAGGAACCAGCATTCTGCGCAGACGGAATCTCTGGAGTTGCAATAGATTCGTTGTGACCCGGGAGCTGTGGAAGGCGGTGGTGGTACCAGGATTGACTTTTGCTAACGCTGTGGTGTGTATCCCTGGAGATATCCGAGCTCACATAGAACGTAGGCAGAGGGAGGTCGGGCGTCAAGCGCTAGGCTGTCATGGTACAGTAGCAAATGAGGCTGTCCAGGGTGATTTGGGATGGTCCTCTTTTGAAGCCCGTGAAGCTACCAGCAAAATCGCCTACGACAGACGTCTCCGACATATGGACACCTGCCGGTGGGCCAAAAGGCTGTTCAGGTACACTCAACTGACTGGGCTGCAGACCCGCTGGCAGAAACGCCTATACCAGCTCGAAAGCAAGTACGGTTTTTTTGCGGACCCTGTCCAAGCGTCGTCGGCCAGGGAATGGGAGAGAGAGGTCCGGAAAAAGGTTCGCGACCAGGAAACAAAGCAGTGGCTCAAAAATGCCCAATTGAAGACTACGCTCGATGTGTATGTTGCAAACAAGAGGACCATCGGCTCGGAGGCTAGGCTATACGATAATAGCCTGGGTAGTCGTTTGCTATTTGAGGCACGAGCCGGGGCACTAAGGACTCTGTCTTACAGACGTCACTTCGATTCTACTGTGACCACGAGCGTGTGCCGGGAGTGCGGGGCTCACGACGAAACAGTAGCACACATTGTACTGGAATGCGCAGGACTCCGGCCATCCCAGTCACGAGACAACGACCGTGACCTTCAAAGCCCTCTGGAGCTTGCCGAAGTATTGGGCTTCACGGCTACTAGAGAAGGACACCAAACCAGTGAGGTTAGGCCAGCCGCACCAGCGGACAGGCCTGCCTCGAATGAGACTACGGCCTCCAGTGGCCCACATAGGCCGTCTGTCGAGGCAACAAAGAGACGATTAGAGGACTGGTGGAGAAAGATCTACCTTTAGGGGGCAATAACACGCAAATGCCCCCAGGCTTGGGCATGAATATTGTTCGAGCCCGCCCGATCTAAAGGGAACAGCCGCATCATCATCATCATCATCATCATCAACTTAAAGCCCCTTGATAAAAGCGTTTTTTTACAAGTACCGCCAACCATTGTTGTGGAAGCGCGCGAGACACATGCCATGAGCGGGTGCTCCGCCGCCATTCGCTTCCAAGGCCCGCTCATTTCAGTGCTGCGCCGCCATTTGCTTCCAAGGGCCGCTCGAGACATGGGCCTCGTGCACTCGCGCATTTGACGCTACTTGCAAGACAAACGCAAACACATCGAGGGGCTTTAATAAAACTAACCGCCGCAAATCTTCCGCTACGGGCCCAGCACCGGTTAAAACGGACACGTCGGCGCGCGCTCGGAAGCTTCTGCTCGTCTCGCCGCCGACGAACATGGCGCCGCCCCTAGCATCCACATGGTCGCCGGTGCTTCTGCCGCAACTCGACCATTACTGCGCCACAAAACACCGCGGATTACTCCGCGGCGTTCCATTCGACATTTATGCTTTCGCATTCACAACTCGAAAGAAGTGATTATCTGTTTCCGACTTTTTTTTTTCTTTCATTTTGCGCTTCAATTCTTATGAAAGCCACCATGGATACCTCTCTTGTTTATTCGTCTTAAGCAGAATAAAACGCTATACACCATCTATTACAAGCTGAGTAAAAGCGTCACAAGCTGAATTTACGTCAGGGTTAGTTGAAACTCCAGACCATCCATGTTTGTGAAGTGATGGTAAAGACCCTGATAATTTCCCCGCCTAAAGTCAAAAGACAGAGAGTCGCTACAAACGGCTCGTGCCAAACATCTTATGGAACCACTGGAGCGTCAGCTGACGAAATTACAGCGTCTATGTCGTTAGTAATTCACAGGTCTAATACGTTACGGGCAGGTTTTCTTAAACTGTTTAACTGCGAAAGGCAGTTAAAGCTCAGAACGTCAAGGAGCACACCGGCCTTTTCTGTCGACTCAAGACTCCTGTAACCTACATGCTGGGATCCCCAGATGACACCAGGAAGATTAAAGTCCCCGAGAAGAACCCGATGCCGGCATGCGTCTAACTTTGTCTCAAGCATATTGAAACAGTGCAGAAAATGCGACGCATTTAATCCTGGATGAAAATAGTAGTTACCAATCAGTAGAACTACTTCATCTTTCATCGACACTTCAAATGTAAGTGAAGAGAATCGCATCCGTGTACTTTAGGAGCGCCATGTAAAGTTATTTTTGAGGAGGGCCGTGTTAAGCGAGAATTCAAGAAAACGAAGAGGTCTGCTGAGCGGAATTGGCTGGAATGCTAGGTACCTTCTCCTCACTGAGTCGGTTACGCCACCTCAAAACCTTTCTCGCGACTGTTTTAACCGCCGGGAAAGATAGCCGCATTCACAGGCAAACCTTCCCTAGGAATCTTCCCACGCACAACCGAAATCCCGGTTACACGGCGTCTTCTCCGCAATAAGCCTCCGTCAGATTGAAGGCACCATGACCGGGATTCGAACCCGCCAACTGTGGCTACGTAGGCCGGCGGTTTGGAGGGAAAAGACAGCCACCGACTGAGCGGGAACAAGCGCCACAACGGGAAAATATTTTAGACTGAAATCAAAACGAGCACAGAAACAATGACAGGGATAATAAACTCCTGGCTGAACATATATATATATATATATATATATATATATATATATATTTCAAACGTGATTTGTGTTCGTGGAATCAAAAAACACCAAACGTGTGCCCCACTCAAAGGATATGACAAACTAGCAGGAGTAAGAATCTCATTGTGTGTCATGTCAAACCATTGGTATTCCTTGATTTGTCTAAACTAAAAGGTAGAAATTGAATTCGCTTAGGTATATTATAGTTACGGTATCGCCGCCTTCGTTTCATGAAACTGACCACTAAACCTGCTGCTGTGTACGGTGAGGAACTGGGGGAAACGAGCCGACCAGAGAGCGCGATGACGTCAGTGAGCCGAGTTCTGATAGGAAAGATAGTGGGTATACGCAAAGCATAGTTGCTTGAGTCTCTGCTCAGTGCTCAAACGCGTCCGAACGTCGAACGCCAACTTCCGGAGATCGGACCCGGGATACTGCGCGAAGAGCAGACGACGCTCCTGTTCGCTCTGATTGGAGGGAGCCAGTGGGTAGATAGCAAAGGCAGCTAGCCTTTGCGTCTGCCCAGTCATTCTGCCAATCAAAGCGCAGTGCTCTGACATCCCCGCGCCATTCTCATCTCTCCTTCAGTTTCTCACTGTATAAAAGTCAACATACCGCGCGCAGATTTCCACCTCTACTTCATCTCACAACGTCTGCCCTGCTTACAAAGCTATGAGAGGGGTGCAATCTGCTGCTGGCATATGGCCCCACAATTTAATCCCGGTACGAGGCACGCTATTCTGGGAACTCGCATATGACATCTACCATTAACCTCAGTATTCATAAAAAAAAAAATCCATTCTCATGAAGCGCATTGCTTCCGGTTTCAAACCTTCGTATACTTGAGCGGGCTATTCACAAAAGACTGGCACCAGCGTAGCTACCGGGTACAGAGGGGGACCCGTTTTTTAAACGCCGATGCTTCTGTTCACACGCTCAGTGAATCTATTCAAACTGCTCGTTAATCAACTGTGTCCTACTATAGCCTGTTGCAACTTAAGTTGAGCAGTAGATGCCACGCCTCCAGCGCAAGCTTTCTCCCTTTGATAGCACTTCGGTGCACTCGAAGCCAAAGCACGGCGGAAGGCAAGGAGGGCGTGTTGGAGGCGAAACATCTACTTCTGATCTTATGTTGCAACATACTATAGTTATAGGAATAACTCATCTAGCCTAAAGCAACTGGATCCGGGGAAAGTAGCGCCATTGCTTTCCATACCTCATGGCCGAACACAAGCAGGTACTAAGACACAGAAAACGAAACCTCGCAAGGTGATTGGCTGATCGGTTTCAGTTGCCACAAAAACCACCATTTTGGTCTATTCAAATATTCGGAGCTCAGAGAACCGTTCCGCATCAGTCACGCAAAGATCGCTACGGAGCGCCATCGTACTGAAAGCGTTCCTCGCCAGTATAAGGGTTTTTGGCACTGTGCAGCCAATCAACCTATTAATCGTTCTTATCTCCACAGATCCTTCACAATGGTATTGCTGTTTTTGCGAATCTAAAGAGAGCGAAATTATGTTTAATGCCGCCATGCACCGACGCCGCATGTGGTGATGGTACAAACATGTACGCTTGTTTCGCCCGAGTGGGGATAACAAAATCTCGGTATTCAACAAATGTCTTTGTAAAGCAACCTAGCTGTCACCGGGAATTCGGGTCGACTCACCAAGAATAGTTAGGCCAAGGAGAAGAACAGCTCCTTCCATGGACCAAAATGGTGACCATACGGGGAGCCTTCTCTGTTATACACTCAAAAAAAAGGTTTTATTCTTACACCCTTTGTCTCACATAAGACACCCCGAAACTTCAGTTCAACGTACAGAGCACTGACGTCGATCTGACGGTACTAACTTTTACGAGAGGCTTGATAGCCGTGTGGTACAATTAACTTATTCAAATAGCTAATGTACGTGTTACTGTCTACAAAGAAAGTAATCGGGGTTTCCTTGGCCCTACTGCAAAACCTCAGTGTTTTCTTTCTGTGGTCCTTGATAAGTACTTTAGCTATTTAATAAGTTATATCGCACCGTTATCAAGCCCCTCGTAAAATTGGGGGCCGTCTGTTCAACTATAGGGCGCTGAACGTTGAACTGAAGTTTTGGGGTGCATTATACGGGGAAAAAAGGGTGTAAGGTGATATCCTTTTTTTTTTTTTGTTAGAGTGTAGCCATACAACCGAAGTAGTTATTCACCGCACGGAAGAAGTAAGGCCTGTCCGTATCGCCATCGCGGCGGGGGTGCGGCGATCTGGGCGAGTACCTTGTCGTCGGCGGCCTTGTCTAGGTAGTAGTCCCTCGAGGGCAGGATGAGCCCTCCTTGGTCCACCTGGAGGATGTGCCTGGAGGAGTTCCGGTCGTCCTCTCCGACGGCCCACGAGAACAGCCCGGACCGCGAGTACACGTTGTGGATCAGGTGTAGCGCTTCCTGCAGGTCCCACGTGTCCGTCGAGTAGTTGCCGCTCACGTTCCAGCCGCCCACCTGTAGGAATTAAGAAGCAGACACATACCTCTGTCTTCCAGGTCCTACGATGGAGTGAAATATGGTTAAAAAACATTAAACGGTCCTTTCAGGGAGTGAGGAACAACGTATTTGTTCACGTGGGACCATGAAGTCACGTGACTTGAGGTCACCTGAATCGCTCACGTGATGTAACTTCTCGGTGTCACGTCACATGACGTCACATGGTCAAGTTCGCCGCTAAATTTAGCGGAGAAATTGTCGTCCCGGTGTAAAATTGTGGTATCAGGTGACGTCCACTTCTCATTAAGGTAGCAATTTGGGCCAATTGGTTCATGATCACCTAAAAAAACACAAGGACGAGGAAGTAGACAGACAAGAGCGCACTCGCAACTGGTTTTTATTTGTGAAAACTAATCACATGGACAAGAAAGCACTCCCAATTGGTTTTTATTTGTGAAAACTAATCATGTGATTAGTTTTCACAAATAAAAACCAGTTGCGAGTGAGCTCTTGTCCGGTTACTTCCTCGTCCTTCTGTTTTTTGGCGCTTTTTTAGGTGGTCAATTTCTCGGCCATATTTAGTGGATAAACTGATGTCACGTGACCTGGGGTCGTATGACGTGTCACGTGATCTAACGTCCCGGTGTTACGTGATATGACGTTACGTGACGTCACCATTTCAGGTTGTGGTGTCAGGTGACGTCAATTCACCCGATAAATTTAGTGGGTAAATTCACCAACGAACAACCGCTCTATGGATTTGGGGGTTCCGTACGAAAAGCATTCCGTGTTTTAAAGGGTCCCGAAGGAAGCGAGGAAAAATGATAGAGCTACGTTTCTTCAAAAAGCTAACTTCCGCGGCAGTTTTTCTTTTTTAATCGCTTTGCTTTTTTATATTGGGTTATTTATGGCCCCGGCGTGCCGTACCATGCATGACCGTATAACGCCATTTGTGTGCATTGGTCTCGCATGGGAGCCAACTATGTCAGTACGTCCTTTGTTGATTCGCTTCGCTATTTTAGCAGCCAGCTTCCACTGCCAAGTATCGCACGGTTCAACGGGAACCGAGAGATCAGCGAAAAGGCGGGTCCGTGCAACTGGCTGGAGATCTTGACAAAGAGTAAAATTAAGTTTGGTGGCCAGGTAGCGCTACTTCCAGAAAATTTTCGCAAAATTAGGTCATTCTACGGTACCACTAATGTAATCCCATCTCGAGCTCTAGCATCTGGGTGCCCTAGCGAAGCTTGAAGCAGCGTGTTTGTTTAACTGTTCTATGGTAGGAACTTGAAACCAGTTTCCTGTAAATATAGCTATAAAAATGCCAGCGACTTCATTTTTAAAGTTTCATAATGCATGAAATGAGGACACTCTGGGAACATCATCTAAAGGGTTATCTAGAAGGTGTTGCTAGGAGTGCGTGTGTGTGTGGGGGGGGAAGGGAGGAAAGAACGGGGAGAGAGGGGAGGTATGGGATTAGGGAATCGATGTGCCACGTTACTTATATATTCCCACTGAATTTCGCGGGGAAACTGAATGGTTGTATAGGTCACGTAACAGGCAGGTCACGTGAAGTAGATTTCCCCCGCTAAATATCGCCACGAATTACAAAGGATGAGGCGGTGAGTTAACTGGAGAAACTAAACGTTTAATTGGGCGAATCTGTGCCCAAAATAACATGGAAGAACGTTAGCGTCGCAGGCGTCGATGTCGGCGTAACAGCAGGGTAGAGCGCAGGGTCGAGACTGACTTTGGCTCGCCACGCGAAGCCCCTTATGTACACGCGTGAGCTTCTGGAATAATCGGCGTAGAACGTTCGACGCGTAGAACATTCCGACGTCGAATAAACAACAATGTTTTCGACTTCACCAGAACAGTAAACGGAAAGAATAAATAAAAGACGCGTAACTCCCAGGGATCGAACCCTGGGCCTCCGCACGAAAGTCAAGCGCGGTAACCACTCGGCCACGCACGCGCTCGCTCGCCGAGCGCGTGGCAATATAGCAGGAAAACTGGATTGGTGTTTAGGTCAGAAGACGTCAATTTTCCCTCTAAATTTCGCGGGGAAACTGAGCTGGAGGTATAGGCCACGTGCTTACAATTTTCCCATAGGGCAAGTGACGTCACGTGACACCAATTTGACAGCAAAATTTAGCGGAAAATGCATGGACGGGCGGAAGGACGGATGGACCGACGGACGGACGGGCAAATTTTTGGGATTGGGGGGTAGTGCTAAAACAGGTGTCATGTTTTAAAAAACAAATAGTCGGGATTTCAAATGATTTGATATTAGCATCTCCTGCCCATGGAATGTTTTCTTTAAGCTTGCTCGCACACACAATACAAAATACAAGCTGACGTGGACAAGAATTGCAGTCAGTCTTAAGCTCCCTGCGGAGTGTCCACCGTGTTTGAGATAATCTTGAAGCAACCCGAGACTGAGGAATACGAAAGTTGACGCCAAGAGAAGAGAATGAGAACGTTTCAAATAGAGCTAGGCTTTTATTGCGGACATAGCTTTTTTAAATAAGGGTTGAACAAAGTGAAAGAAGGGGAAATACCCTTCCCAACTCTTCCCCACAAATAGGTCTGCCCCCTCTGGCCGGCCCTCCGAGTGTTATGTCTGCTATATTACTCTGAGGTTTTCATTGTGGGGGGGCCCGTTGGCGTTTCATTCCTTTGTGTCTAACGAGAGTATTGTGACTGGGGAAGGGTCTTGCCCCTTCCTGCATTTTTATCTTTCAGTTTGTTCAACCCTTATATACAGGGTTCTGTCCGCAATAAAACTTTAGCTGTGTTTTGAGACGTTCTTTTTCTCTCTTCCTAATGTCAACTTTCGTATTTCGAAGTCCCGAGTGGCTTTAAAATGTTCAGTATAAACCAAATCACTGGTGCCCTTACCTTTCATTAGAGATAAATTGACACTGAAAATGCTAAACCACTCTGATTGAGTTTTGCGATTAACACCAAATGCTATACCATGATTCAGCGTACGGTATGGCTCTCACCGAAAAATTCAATGAATATATTTTTTTTTTCTGGCGTCAGGCTCATGGTTACTTGTGTACATAGATACATGTATACCTAGTTACCTGTATACATAGTTACATGCGTGAGACGACATACTTATGAAAGGCGCCTAGAGAAAGTAAGGTACCTAGCTGTCTAGATTCAATACACCGGTCAAGCTATAGCTATCCTTTGTGAGAACAATGGAATCAGGGAGACCTTTTAGATCGTCGTCATCGCCCCCTCTGCTTGTTTTGTAATCGAAGCATCAGTATCGACAAGCGTCCGAGTTGCATGGCAGGTCAGGTGTGTCCGCCGCAACACGTTCTAATCTTCGTAACCATCTACGCGTCGGCGGCAGTCCTTAGAACCCCTCGGTCAAATCGCTCTCCGGGTCACAGAGCCGATAAGTGGTCACTTTCTTTCCGGCGGCCGCGCTGTCCTGGCACAGAAATTAGCATGGGTTGCCACACCCAGGAGTCGTGTTCGGCGCTCGGAAGTGTCTGGCGTTGAAACCATCTGTAGTGTATTTCCGACATGAATGTGTTCCAGAGTGCTATTCGGTCGTAATAAAAGCCGTATAAACAAGTCAATGAATTGAATGTAGTGAAACTTTGTCCAAAGGTGTCTTTAGGGAGCGCTCTAGTAGGTTCTCTGAAAACAAACTGCAAAGGAAACCATCGATACTTCCGATGCAAGTTGGGGGAGGCGGGGGGGGGGGGGGGGGGGGGGGTTACAGGGAAAATCAATTGCATGGTTGACTCTAACTCAGATATCGTGGCACTAGTGCGCATGCTCAGATCTGCAAGATCTGCTTCATGATATTCATCTCTAAGAAGCTTTCAAATGTTTGTACCAGGTGGCGCCATATGTGAATAGCAGTGTCAACCCGACGGTTTGCTTCTGCCTTCTTCCTCCCGTGCGTAAAAAATATAAATATTTTCTTCCCTTCTTTTCTTTTTTTTTTTCTCAGAAACCTGCATTCACAATTTGTGTGCGATATACGCAATACCTAAAAATGTGATTGCATTACGTTTGTTTAGGCCGTGCACGTGGAGCAAAAGCTGACGCTGCAGCACCCAGGGATCCTGGGTTATACTTAAATCCCCTAATCCCCCCCCCCCCCCCCCTTCCCGCCCCGTTTTGAACTGGAGGAGCATCGTACTGGCGTGCGGTCGTGCATCACTGCCGCGCGATGCAGTAGTGATGCATTCACACAACTGCAACGCTGTGAAAGGAATCTCGCACAGCCGCGTAGATTTTATGGTGAAATACCTTGGTATACATAGAGCGATCCGAAAGCTCTCCGTGCTCGCACTTTTAGAGTGGTAAATTTTAGCGCTTTCTTGCACGCTCATGATACTTACAAAAAACGCTTCAAAACCCCGTCAAATCCAACTAAGAAAATTCGTCATTAGTTAGCGCTTAGTCTGCGCGAGCACTCGTGTAAGTGAAGCGCTAGCTGAAGCTACGTGCCCCCTCCATAACCATTTAATGAATTGCTTAGCATATACAGGGTGCTCTTTTTAAGCTTAACATACTTGTTTAAAAAAAACGTTTTAGTTACATTTTTGGTGGTTTTGCAGGTGAGTTATACGACTAGGTGTACAGTGGCCCATTTTTTTAATAATACCAAGCGAGCGTCGACAGCCGGGACGGCCAGCGCCGTGCCGCGGAGGCGTGCGGCGAAACGGTAGAGATTAAGCGCGTGCGCACAATGCCCTTTCTGGTGGGAGCGTCGTCTGCTAGGCTATTCCGCTGATCGCACACATCCCCTGCTCCGAAGCAAAGGAGGGCAGGGCGCTTGCAATGTCGAAGTGCATCGCCGATACGCCCCTCTTGGAATGCGTTCCCGTATAGTTCCGACTGTTGTTGCTCTATCCCCTTTGCGTCATACCGCCCATCGACATTCTCACAACACGTTCCCGTGTTTCTATGGGCACTCGAGGAGGCATAAAAATGTGCGCGCACCCGCTGGTCACAGAAAAGTGTGACTACCTAGCTACATAGGCTAGATGACGAAAGCAACAGCGCAGTTGATAATACAAAACGATAAGCGGAAACCCTGTCTGTACTCCATTTTACTTTGCGTTGTACCACAGCCGACGCTACGAGCCATCTTGGCCCATCCGTCGCTAATAGCGTGTCACGTGGCCTTCCTGTTGGGCACAACTGCACGTGGAAGCACGATGTCACGTGGCAGGGTGAAAGCACTGGATTAGTTTGATGGCTCGTAGCATTGTTTGCGGGTATATAGTTCAATGCATCGTTGCAGTCAGTTTGTCGCGTCACCGCATATTCCATTTCCGTTGGTGCTCACAAAATAAACGCAAACATAAAAAAAAAAAAAAAAAAACATTAACTAGAGGTGACGCGCGGTATATGCCGTGCCTGAGCAGTATCGAAAAAAAAAAGAGAAAATAAATGCAAGCGCTGTTCAGATCTTTGCCTAAAGGCGGTTAGCTATGCCAGCAGATAATGAAAAGGGCTGGGTGCGGTCAACAGAATAGCTAGCAGACAACGCTCGCAACAGAAAGAGCTTTATGCGCACGCGCTTAATCTCTCCCGTGACGCCGCATTTCTCCACGGCACAGTTCTGGCCGTCCCACCGGTCGACGCTCGCTTGATATTAAAAACTTAGGCCACTGTACATAGTATAGGGGAGTAATCGTAACGATCAGTCGGCTAATTAGGTAAAATTTCTTAATTAACTTTTTAGTTAGTAAAAATAGACTTATGGTTCCAATTAGAAACTTGTTCAGCGTCACCGAAAACCATAAAATGAATACTTTTTGAGAGATACTTCGAGCGCGTGAGAAGCGTAGTAGTGCGCTAAAGGTACCACTGGTGCAACAGGTACAAGCATGGGGCAGAGGACTATGTTACCAGACGGAAAAATCGGGCGGGAGCGTAATTGCGCCGGTAGCCTTGTTCCTGCAGCACCAATGGTACATTTAGCGCTCAAAGTCTTTCTAGGAATGATCTAGTGGTTTGCGTTACACTCAGAAAGTTTCTATTTGGAACCATTTGTCTATTTTCACTAATCAAAAGTTCATTGATATATTCAAATTAATTAGCCGACTGGTCGTTACGATTAGCCGCCTAGACTATCTTCCCTTGGCCGAATAACTCACCTGAACAAACAGACCACGTAAGTGTAGTTTTAACGGCTTAAAAAAAAAATCGGTTAAGCTTAAAAAGAAAAACAAAACACCCTGTATAAGAAACCATGGCTTCGAATAACAATTTCCGAAAGAGTCACGTTTCGGACTCCGTATATGCACTTGGGGGGTTGATGAACCAATGTCATCGAACCCCCGACGTGTACAAGCTAGAGTCATTAACGTGCAACTATGTGCCTTAATGAACCCGACATAGGGCTCGTATTAATGCTCGCAAATTGCCTCTCTTTGAAGAATAAAACCAGATGCCATCATACCGGTTAGGCAGGGGACGCAAAGAGAGAAAGCGAGGAAGAGTGAGAGGGCCATTATATTGTCACAATAACCGTTCGTCCACGAGCCTGTTTGGCCAGCTGCGCGCGCGGCAATATGATATAATGCCCCCCCCCCCCCCTCTCTCTCTCTTTGTTTCGCTCTTTGTGTCCAATATGACAAACTTAAAAGATAGTAAAGTATATGCTTTGTTTTTTTGTTTTTTTTTTCTATTCGAGAGCACCGACCGATCAAGGTGAGGAACTTATCAAACAAAAGTATAAATAAAAAATTGGCAGCGACCTTTACATTTAAAGTTCTATAAGGCATAAAACCCAATGTAGGGAATTGGTAAAGGAATTGGTGAGTCACATGGCGTATATCTTCCCTCAAGATTTAGCGGGGAAAGTGAATGGTTGTATAGGCCACGTGACGTCGATTTCCCCCGCTAAATTTAGCGGGGAAACTTAATTGATGCCTAGATTAAAAGACGTGAATTTTCCGGCTACATTTAGTGGGGAAACTGCATTGGTGTATGGATCACCTGACGCCAGGTCACGTGGCATAAAATTCTTCGCTAAATTTAGTGGCGAATATGAATTAATGTATATGTCACGTGACGTCAATTTTTTCGCTAAATTTAGCGGGAAAATTGAGTTCGTCTGCAGGTCCGTTGACGTCATGTCACGTCACATAGAAGTTCTCCGCTAAATTCAGTGGGAAAAGTGAACTCGTGTATAGGTCACGTGACATCAATTTCTCCGCTAAATTTAGCGGGAAATGCGCGGACGGACGAAGGGACAAACGTTTGGGATTGGGGGAGGCGTTTAAAATCATTCCGTGCTTTAATATAGTATGTAAACGGCAGGTTGACCTATACTACTCGACACACTATTAATGAGTGATTTCACTACATAAAGGCTTGTGAATTGATAAGCAGGTACTTGGCAGATGAATTAGTCGAATCATCTTAAGTTTCTTGTAAATGCTTCTATAAGCGAAGTTAAAAGTTAAAACTAAAGCCTCCTTTCTTTTCTATCTTATTTTTTTATAGGGAACACGAGAGACGTGATAGTACCTGGTTTATATGAACAACACTTACGATATCGAGCAGATTGACGATAGGTTTCTTTCCCAGGGCTTCGACCGTTTCGTTCTTATCGAGACAGGAGTAGTAGTAGGTTCGCGCTTTCATCTCGGCCATGCTCTTGAGTTCCGTCTTCTCGTCCTCTGGGAAGAAAGCGGCACAATCGTAGGACACACAAATATACCACGTACGTCGCTTACGAACTCGTCCAGACAACAACAGACACATCTTGATGACATCCCAAATACATTTTGTTGGAGGTCTCCGATGAGCAATAGATCAACCAACCGATCATGTAAACACGGTGTAAGGGACGGCTGGGGCCAACATAAAAGCTGTTTTTGTTATGACAATGAAAAATGTTAGTTGAGCAGTGTGAAACTAGCCGCTTTTTACCACAGTGCCTCAAACAGGTCTCCGACTGGTGTGTCTAGCGTCCTATTCCGCCCATGCATCGATAGGCATCACGATGTGCCAATAAATGACGTCACAAAAGCCAGACAGTGTTGCTGTCCTATGTCGTGATCCTCGTGGTGGGGTGTAACAATTCTGAAAAAAAAAAAAAAAAACCACAAAAATAACAAAAAACACGAGAGAATGCGAGGATCCCTGTCCTCTTAGTGTCCCAACTCCTGGCTGCCTAAGCTTCCGGGGACTATCAAGCTGGAGAACAACCTGCAGTGTAACAGGCATTTGCCACATCAACCACTGTTGCTGTGATACCGCCAGGGTCGCGGTCGGCGAAAACTTGACACCGATATAACGTCCTCAAGCAGAAATCGAGGAACCACTTTCGAGGACGCGATGATCACACCAGTCGGAGATGGTATTAAGCAGAAACGCACATATTTTTTGTTTATCTTGCAACGGTTCATATTTGTCAGTTCGTGAACCAGAGTTGACAATCTGTGCAAAATCAAGTTCATTCATGCTTCATGTCTCGTTCGCAAATGCCACTTGCAATTGCGGAATGGAATTTCATGTCAAATAATATAGTGACAGAAACTAACAGCGCTAGATTGGAAGAAATGCTCACTGTCTTTATTAATCATAGTAATGAGACGTAAAATTGTAATAAGAACTGTAACTTCTGTTATTGCTTCAATCGTATGCCTGTACGTTCTTTAATCTTAGTGTTCTCCTTATGTCCTTAAAAACTTTTAAATTTTATTTAAACCCTCCATTTGTGTAATACCCGGAAACGGGCCCTCGACGCAGAAAAGTAAATAAATATGACATTCTTCCGCTGAACACCACCAAACCAATACAACTCGCATAACGACTATGAACCTTCTTGTGATTGTAACATGGTGAATGCTACTCACGATAATCCCATACTTCGTGTCAGTGAGAGAGGCACGGGCAGGACGTCAGTACCATTAGAAAGGTCTTTAACACAAGGATCCGGACAAACAAATAATTTCACACGGTTACGCTTCTGCACCTGCGGGAGTGCCAACCCTGTGAACACTTTCCACCCTACTTGCAAGACAGCGAACGTATTGGGGACCAGCTTTTGTGAATTTCTCGGTAAAAATAACCCCGTGACAAAAGTTTCACTTTTAAATATAAATATTCCAATTCATCTAAGAAGCAGTAATAGTAAAAATGCTCGATTACATTTCTTTGTGGCAATTGGTCACTTAACCTACCGATTTATCGATTAATTCTTTAATCATGATTATTTTTACACCGGTTAATCCGTAAAATTTTGACGAAACAAAAAATTAAAGAATAAACGGTTCCACCACACAGACGTGGACGAGAACACCTGTAGAAAAGGCGAACTTTAGGTAGATTCTTAACCTAAAGTAAACTGTAGGGGTCAAGATTTGTAACTCCAGACAAGTGCAAAAGGTTACGGGTATCCCGACCACTTCAACGCCGCGCGAGTGTGCGTCCTTTTAGCGCTGCAGAGACACTTGTGAACCGTCGAAGGAGGTCGCTCTTGTCGGAGAATATCAACGAGCCTCTTTACGTCATGCAGCTGAAGTAATAATATGTGAATTTGAGTGTCTTTGAACCTATCTCAGCTACACATCAAGGTTGATTCCCAATCGAAATTGTATCGCGTTGTTTATTCCATTATCAATTAATAAAAAAAGGTAATTTTTTACTTTTCAAAAGGTTCTGAAGGGAAATGAACGAGACCGATTCATCGATTACTTATCAACTAAAGGGCGCCGATTAAACGGGTTAAAATTTTTAATTGACGTTATCGCATCACGACTCCCCAAAATACGCTGCACGTGGCCATGGTACAATATGGGGACGTTAAAGCCTAATCTCTGCAATGGCGCACGGCGTCGAAAGCACTCTCGAATAAATAGATCAGTGGCGGGCCGTCACTTCGTGTGCTCTCAGTGATAACGGGGCTTCGATGCGACGTCCTGCACTCTGATTCACTATAAGCCGGATCGGAGCAGACTCTGCCAACGGATGGAGCCAAGCAAACCGCGCCAAAAGTGATCCATCCTTAAACGATACTTCATTCTTAAAGCTTTTCTGCGCGAGTGTTTCAACGGATAATTTAAGAACATTCCTACAAACAGGGAAAAACGCATTAAGTAGCAAAAGAATTATGAAAAGATAACGAATAAATTTTTTTTAATTAGTGAAAATAAACATGTGGTTCCAATTAGAAACTTGCTGAGCGTCATCGAAAAACCCTCAAGCAGTAAATTTTTAGAAAGGCTCGAAGCGCGTGGGAAGCGCCGGGATTGCGCTAATGTTATTCCTACTCGTGCAGCAGGTACAAGGCTGCAGATACGAAAACGCGGATGATAAAAAAATTACCCGCATTTTTTGCATCGCCGTACTCTTCCGCGTGCAGCAGGCTCTTCGTGTACATGCTGGTATTTCAGACACTGCTTGTCTGAAATACCACAGGAAGTTCTGCGCGAGTATGTGTAGGTTTTATGGTAGCCTGTCAACGTCAATAAACAAGACAAAAAAAAAATACGATGATCGACTGTTTTTGTTAACTCTGTCCATCCATGTGCGTGCGTTCAGCAGCCAGAAAGCGCGTGATTTTAACTTTCACTCGCAGGCAGATTAAGAACGCCGGAGAATACTTTTAGTTTTCCCGCCTCCAGCGCGAGCTTCCTACTTTTGATAACACTTCGGCGTGTCATCAGCTTAGAGTGTGCACTGGCAGCCAAAGCACGGCGGAAGGCAACGAGCGCGTGCTGGTGGCCAGTCATTCGAAACAGACGCTCTGCCGCCCTCATAATGGTCCTTATATTTCGATGAAGGCCTGCGCGAGCTCTTCGCTCTTCCTCCTTGTCTTAACCGAGTTCCTCGAGAGGCATTCAGTGATCGCGAAAAAGCCAGCGTAGAAAAATGAAGGAACGTTCGCTCAAGAAACCCACCTAGTACGTTCTTCATAACCAGTTGGTTTTCCTGCCAAAGCTTGCCGAAGGTGCCCCAGATGGACTTGCCATCTGGAAGTGGATTGGACTTGATCCAGCCCCCGCAGGCGTATTGGTAGAAGTCTTCGCAAGGGTCCTTTTCGTGGTCCATCGCGTTCAGGATGGAGCTGGCGACCGTCACGCATGCGGGCGTCACGCAGTATTCTGTAATAGGTGACGACACAAAACGCTGTGGGATTCGGAGGAGTAAAGACAACACCACATAGAAGAAAAGGCCTGCGAACACAGACGCCGTCACCAGTAGATCCACGCAGCGCCGCCTAGTTCGCGTAAGCGTCGCCGCCAGCTTGACATGCAGCGTCTTACGACGAACGCGACGCTATCCTCCGCGACAACTTTTCTTGGCAATGAAGTAGAAGCTACAGGCCACGCGTTCCCTCTCCCGTTTTGAGCGCTGAATAAAGCTGTGCGCGGGCTCTCCTTCTCATTTTGGAAATGCCAAGAAAAGTTGTTGCGGAGTATAGCGCGGGGCGACGCCAAGATGGACGCGTCTGCCCTATTGTGGCGTACTCTCGGCGAGCTTAGCGTGTTTGCCGCTTGCGGCGGGCCGGGAGTCCACCAACGTTGACGTCATGCACAGGCCTTGTCTTCTAGGTGGTATTGGTAAGGAACACAAAGACCGTTGTCCGATTCTGCCACCGCTTACAACAATCACTCAATTATGTCGTAACAGGTGCGAAATTTTTTTATAATCCCCTGTTTGGCGGCAGATTAGTTTTTTTTTTTTTTTTTTAATACTTTGTTGTGGACAATTTTTGTATAAACAGCACAAATCACTACACTGGTGATGGCTGGTGTCAAGAATTTGGAACAAATAAAAAAACTTAGTCCTTAGTTGTTTAGACTGCAGGAGTCTAGTCTGCCAGGGCATGGCGAACCTGTTACCCGCTGTAGACGAGAAATTTTGCAAGTGCAGAACGACTCTTAGCCTGAGGACTTTAACGTGCATCACGCAGTAGTAATACACGACCGCACTCCGGTACGATGATCATCCACATCGAAACGGGCAGGGGTAGGGATCGAACTCAGAAGCCCAGGGTTCTACAGCGCAGATTTTCGCTCCACGTGCTCCAAGCTGCGGTACGGTAACAGACAAAGTTCCGGTGGGAGGGCTGTTTGCGTTAGCAGTCGAATTTAGCGGTTTAGATTTTCGACGCCACTACACAAACATTTTGCTCTTTTCACTCTTAGCACTAAAGCATTTAACTAGAAAAGAAGATGTAACAAACAAATTGAATAGCTGCCAAATGAGTATTGTTAGTTCCGCCCGAGCACCTCCTTCATCTATACGCCGCAGGGCTGAAGTCAGTGTGCCGCATCACAAAAGAGTGGCGTTTTTGTAAATGTCTACTCCGGTCAAAAATCCGTTAGATTTTTTTTTCTGATAAGAGTAGCGTTAGCAGACATAATGTGCTGGCCAAATTTTATTTTCATGGCGTGGAACCAGGATCTCGCGATCTCAAACCAAGAACTCCACGCTCATCATTACAGCTTCTATTTTGAAAGGAATCCTTACTTTAATCCCAAGACTTTTCACGTAGCAAAATATACAAAATTGGTTGTTAGCTGTTTATACAGCAGGAGTTTAGTCTGTCAGAACAGGGCGACATTGTTACCCACTGTAGATGAACAATTTAGCCAATGCAGTATGACTGCTAGCCTGGGGTCCTTAAAGTGCACAACGCGGTAGTGATACACGACCACACGCTGGTACGATGCTTATCCAAATCGAAACCGGCAGGGGTGGGGATTGAACCCAGGATCTCTGCAGCGCGAGCTTTCGCTCCACGTGCTCCGAGCTGGTGCGCGCTAGCCCACTAGGCCATCGATCCCCCTTTTCCCGCAGCATTTTCAATCTCACGCTGACTAAAGTAGCAGTCATCGGAAGACAAAGAAAGTTGTTCTGCAGTGCGTGGACCACGAGCCAACCGGGCATCTACGCAGCGCTCGGCAGAGCCGACGGTAGCTGGTTCCAGACGCCACAGTCATGAGCTCGAGTGCCAGGGAACCCTGCCAGCCTTCGAGCCTGTACAAAAGCGCCGTGGCGGACCGTGAACTCGTCAGCGGTGGCCGCTGCGTCCACCACTGCACGAACGACGCGCCCCTGGAAGGCTACTGCGGCGTCTACAAGCACGACGGGGGCTCCGCCGAAGGCACGACGGCATTCACGAGCTTCCTCGACCAGGAACAGGCGGGCAAGTCCTCAGCGCCCCGTAAGTACTGTCGCGACGCGAAGCTCGAGGGTTACCAGGCGAGCAAGATTCCGGTCGTCAGCGACGCCGAGACCGGGCTCCCAGTTATCGACTCTGAAAGCTCCATCATGAATATCATTCAGAAGGTATCGGACATCGAAGTGAGCGTGGACTTTATCGACAGCTCGATCGACGCCATCATGGCGCGCATCAAGGAACAGCGAGAAAAAGCGCTGCCCACCAAGGTACCGAGTGGTAGCAGTGGCGTTCGCAGTTGCGCCAGCAGCTCCACTGCCAGCAGTAGTGGGAACAGCTCGGCTGCGAGCAGTAGCAGCAGCAACGCCAGCGTTGATGAGGCCTACGTGTCGGGCTCCGCCTCCAACCAAGCTTAAAGTCACCCTCCCCCAACATCTCGGACTCTCGGACGCTGAAGAGTTCGTTGAAAGTTTCTCTTGTGTGAGCTGCAGTGGCAAGTGAAGGATTGATACGTCGGAGAAATGAAGACGAGGTCAGAAGCTAATTAAACGAAAGGACACGTAATTGCCTTTTGTGTATTCTATTCATTGATTCTAAAACCGACATTGGGAAACATTGATTCAAGCGTTTCCCACAATATGAAGAAGTTGAGAAGAGAAAAGAAGGGGGGGGGGGGGGGGGGGGTGTTCAAGGTATATGCAGAGATTTGTTTTTGTAAACGCCACCAACGCAAATGTTTCAGCTGTGCTTTACAGTCGCTGTTCATAACTACCGCATGTAGTTATGAATAGCGAGAACTGCTCTTCTCTGGGCAGGCGCTACACCTACTAAGACTACCAGCTCGCACTTGCGACCTTCGATGTATAAGACTACTAAAGTTACGCAGACTTCAGTGAAGCTCTGCCATGGCCTTTTGTCACAGTTAAATGTTTGGCTGCTCGGTTGTGCGAGGTTTTGGTGCGACAACAAATGCACGATTGCATCTATTCTAACGTCTACGTACTTCGGCACGGAACTGTGTTGCCACCAAGTCATAAAAGTGCGAAGCTGCTAAAGCGCCACCAAATGGTATTGACTGAGGATTTTGTGGTGACCGATTTCGGATGTCATCACCGACCACATAAAAACATTAACAACAGATTGGAGAAAGGTTATCTGGAGTTACCACTAGAAGTATTTGCGCTGCAGAATTCAATGCCCGCTCCCTCAAAACTAAGCAAGTGAAAAGTTGGTTAAAATGCAGAGAAGAGGGACGTTATAAAATCTAGAGTATGGACGCCGGAAGCTCCCTCCGTGTGGTATTCAGTTCGTACACAAGCCGCCGCATTACTTTCTTTCACAGGCGCTTTCACACAGCACACGGCACAGCTTTACAAGATTTACAAGCATGCCAAAGCTCACGCGCACGCTGCACATGCTGGCACGCACGGGTCACCAGTGTAAGTTCGTCGAGGTTGCGATGATATAAAAAAACCAAGCTCTTTTTCGATGACTAAAAAAAAATATGAAAGACGTTTAGAATGTTTTGTAATGCGAAATTAGAGTGCAGCCCTTGAGAACGAGGAAAGGAGGGTACGGAGGGTATGGTGTGCCACTCCTTCCCTATCCGTACCCTCGCTTCCTCCTCTCCCCCTCCCCTCCCATTAAGCGGCAAATCTTCGCTAAACTCCCGCTAAATTTAGCATAAATTTCAACGCGAAATTTAGCGAGGAATTGTTTTGCTAAATTTAGCGGGAAATTTAGCAAAATTTCTTCTGCTCAATTTAGTGAAAAATTTAGCAAAACTTTTCCCGCTACATTTAGCGGGAAAATTTCCACTCTAAATTTAGCGGGCAAATTGACGTCACGTGGCCTCTACACCAATTCAGTTTCTCCCTGAATTTAGCGGGGAAACTGTGACGTCCAATAATGCAACGCGTGCGGTTACGCCGACGCCGCTCAACCCGGAAATGGGCGCCTATGAGCGGCGTTCTAAAAGAGTGGATAGACCTCAAAGCATCTGGCGTTGAGGTCTACCCACTACCTTTCCAATCAAAGTCATTTCAGAACTCGGCGTCGTCCTGACGTCACCTCAACCCTTGCGCGAGAAGCAGACGACTAGCACTCCGCATAGGGAGTATTCCAAGGACGCCATATTTGAATGCGTTGTTCGCTGGGCATGTACAGAACCAGCTCACACTGATAGGTTTTCGAAACCGCCAATCTTAATGGTGTGGAACGCACATTGCGAAAGCACTGTGGAAGTTTGCCATCAGCACGCACTGGGCAGCTACGCACGATGCTATGGCTGTCCGTAAATACCCGCTTATATGGTCACCATGCCCGCTATACTCGGTTCACTCTAAACCCGAGACTAGAGATGTCTACGTCAGCGCGGCTCCGTGCAAAAGAGTGCCGTTGTCATGTGATGGCGCATCGTGCACAGCATAGTGGAAGGTGTCTCGCCGTGTGAACAACACGTTTTTGCGCATTGTTCGTCTTTTGTGTCTCCATTTTTATCCCTTGCCTTTTCTGCGATATTTGTATACAGCCTGAATCACCAACTCGCCCAAACCTCCATATTAACGAGCTTTGCGATTACCGCGGTGACAATATTTGTGTGGGACTCGGAGCCAATAAATAAGCTACGCTTTAGAGTAGCGTCTTTTAAGCCATCTTGGTACTTAAAATCATGGTTGCCAGTGATGTGAAGCCTAGATAAAATCGCAGGAAGCGCTTTTCCGTCTTCCAGAAGTGTTAAAACAGTTTGCGGCAGGGAAAAACGATATCACCTGAGCATCCTAACACCGCATCTAAAGCTATAGAGGAAGTCGCATTTTTGAATTGTAACCATCGACAGTTGCGTCTGCTCTGCACAAACCACCAAGATGGCGGAACCCACTAGCAGATTGGGCAACGGAGTGCCGATACTCTGATACCCTAGTCACACGTGCGCCTTAAACGGTCATTGAGCCAACGACAGTTGACTCAATCGCAATCAGCCGGAGTTACGCGGCAGTGCCAACAGTCATTGAGCCGCTAACGATAGTTGGGTTCAACTGAGCCCAACTGTCGTTGGCTTTGTTAACTAATCACAGGGCGGCATCCGCCGTATTGCCGCCGACGGTCAACGCCAGCGAGGCACATACGAATGCCGAAGATTGGGGGAGGTATCTAGAAAGTATCGTAGTTGCAAATATTGTCAGAAACGATATGATTCCGGGCCGGAGTTGAAGCTAAAACGATTACGGCTCCTCGCGGAAGTTCACGCTCGGCGAGTGCGGCTATTGTGATGTCGGTGCCGATGAGTCTCGTTAGGTCTCTCTTGCTTGAATTTGTGTGAGACGTTCTAATTATCATTGCTTTAATCTAAAAATAAAATGAGGTTCATTATATGTTGTGTTTATACTTTTATTTTTTTTGTTTATAATGAATGAAATGTGTGCGTATAATTAATTTGCATTACTTTTTAAAAAAAAATGTAATGTGACATGAGATTTGATTTCCTTTCGGTTTAAACTTGGATCGAAAGTTGGGGTTCTTAGGCTCATGTGCCGTGTAAAACCGGACAACTTAGTTGAGCTCAACAGTTGGTAGACGCCAACGATCGTTAGCTCAGTGATCGCTGAAAAAGCTCGTGTTACCCTCCTTCTGCGTAGCTTATTTAAGTGGCGGTAGCGCGTCTCATACGGTGAACACGAGCACTGCATGAGCATTCGATTTGGGCTCGTAATAATCAACAGTTCGACAAGCATTTGGGTAGTGACTCGTGTTCAGTCACTGCGATGATGAAAAATAGCCGAACCCTAACAATGAATCAAACTCGGCGCGTGGCTGTGCTTTCCCAAGCCAGCGCGTGGCTATAATAAAAACTGGCGGCATATAATCATCTCCAGACTACGTGGTCGCTTGTTCGGGCAGCAAGTTGAGGAGTGAACGCTTCTCATTTTCTTTAATTTTTTCAGCGACTAATGTTGTCTGGAGAGAAAACCTAACACGTTTTTCATAAGTTATAAACGTCAGAGATTTATTCTAAGTGGTAATTGAGTGAAGTAAAAAAAAGAATCGTCGCACCGCCTTTTCAAAAGGTAACTCCGGCCCATTTCCCCAATTTTGGTGATATTCAGATAGATAGATAGATATCTCGGCTTAAGAGAGGTGTTACTTGTTTTTTTTTTTCTTTTCTCCGGTGTTTTGTGTATTTTTATAGATATTCTATCTCAACGTTTTGTTTTGGGGGTTTACGGCGAAACCAAAACTACTGGCTAGAGCGTGATGGCAATTCTTGTGATCGGCTCAATGGCCATCGTGTGACGCAAGGTTCATATGCGGTACCGCAAAACGGCCTAGTCGCAAGAGCAGTTCCGATCACTCAGGTAAGATGCTACGGCTGTTTTACGGCTTTACTATCAAACGCATGTAGCAGATATTAATACACATGCATAAAGTTGCCGGCCGAAAAGCGAGTTGGCCCCGATGAACGCAGGCTCAGAAGGAGCCCCCACTTATCTTCAGACAACTACTATCTTGATGGCGTGTCACGCACGTTGCAGAGGCTTTGTTGAAGCTAATCGTATAATCGCGCTGAGCGGGAACGAACTAAACTACGGCCGCCAGCGAATGCCTGACCTCCGACACCACAACGCGCTCGAGCGAGCGGGGAGTCAATAATTTTCGTGCGCGATCATCGAAGAAGACGTACAAACTACGGCCGCTAAAACGTGACATAACGAGCGGAAATCGTTCGCTGGGACGGTTGAAAACGCGTCAGAAAAAACTTTCAGCCTTTTTACTCTGGTGAACCAGGATTGACCAGCAAAGCTGTACTATGGTGGGACGACATCAAGGGCGACGCCTAGAGGACGACGTCTAGGGCGATCTCAAGGACGACTTCTGGGATGACCTCGAGGTCGACGCCTAGAGGATGACGCCTAGGACGACCTCAGGGACGACCTCTAGGATGACCTCAATGACGACGTCTATACGACCTCGATGACGACTTCTGGACGACCTCGAGGACGACGTCTACGACGACCTCAAAGATTACCTTTAGGACGACCTCGAGGACAACCTCTCGGAAGACCTTAAGGACGACGTCTAGGACGACCTCGAGGACAACTTTTAGAACGACGCCTAGAGAAATTCAGCCTTTCGAGGCTCGAAAGGTTGCCGCCGTCTGTCCAGAGTTTTTGTGTCGAGATTTATTTGTCCACGGACACGAAACTAGGGAAACTAGCCCTTAAAGGAGTAGTCCGGCGATTTTTTGAGCTACCTCAACTAACTATATTTTCTGACTCCCCGGCCTTTACTCTTTCCGGTATGCTATTTAGTATCGCGAAATTCATAATAGTTATTGCGAAATCGTCAAATAAAAAAGATGCTAAAACCAACATTCAAATATACCCGCACTTTTCAGTGCTGTGATGTCAGTGAGGAGAGCTGGCTTGCCAGTCGAGCGAGCAGTCTAAAAAATAGAATATGCCGAACATTTATTCCATGCTGGGGCGCGGGGACTCGAGCGAGCTTCCAAAGCATTCATTTGACACCATGAAACTGCTTCGAATCAGTTGGGAACAAATTCTACAGTCCAAAGAATGAACCTTGCACTTCCACTGACGTCACTTTTTCGTTGTTGCCAGTGGAGACTTTCAGTTTGAAAAACACGGTGAGGACCAAAATTGTAAATTCAATAACTTCGTGAAAAAAAAAATAATTTTGACCTAATATTTCGTATACTATTTTGGCGATGTTGTTTGGCGAGTTTAGCCAAATTTCAAGCAAATCGGGGACCATGAAGAAATCGCCGGAGTACCCCTTTAACAGCTCCGCTGTAAAAACACGGGGAAAGAAGTGGTAATACGGACAAGAAACCTCTGAAAACGAAGATGACATCGGTGCACAAGGTTGCTTGACAAACAGCCAACCGGTTGAATGCCCGCTGAGAAGGTGGGGGTAGTATTTTAATATTGATTGTAGGGTGGTTCGCGGTTTCCCAGTTTTGAAATATTTCGGCGTTGCTTGTATTTAGTCTCCGTAAATCGGTATGAGTAATTTACATTGATTTCACTTTTGACCTTTAACGTCAAGAGAGGTGTGCTCACTTCGTTCGGGCTGCACGATCTTCTCGATGATCCGTTCCCGGACGCCCCCCGAGCTGACGCCGACCACGATGGCGAGCACGAAGACGACGAAGGCGAGGAGTGCGACCAGGGCGAGCAGGAACCGCTCGAGCGGCGAGGCCCGCTGCCAGAAGGTGCGCCGATGGGCCCCGCCGGACACCGAGTAGCGAACGCCCATCGGGGCCAGGCCGGCCACCGAGCCCCGGGCCCCGCCGACCCCGGCCGCCACGGGGCCCACGCCGCCGCCTTTCATGTCCGTGAGCACGGTCGAACTGCCGGTCACGTCTCCCGGGATGCTGCTCGCGCTGCTCGTCTCTTCGTCCTCGAAGTCGGTCCTCTTGTAGCGAGGCATCTGCGAACAATCGGAGGACATAGGGTTTCACGCATGGGCGCGGAATGTCTCGTCCACTCATACAACATCGTGGGAAGAGCCCGCTTAAGATCGTTTTCCGCTACAGTCACTAAAAGGATGAGAACAACAAGGATACCGCTATCCCATCTCTATAGCGCGAGCTTCCCACCTTCGATAACACTTGGGCGTTTCGTGAGAGTGTGCACGCGCAGTCAAACCACGAAAAAAAACGTGCCGGAGCAACACCACCTAGACTAATGAAAGCCTCCACATGGCCTCCTCTCCCTCTATGAAACGTCATCATATTCGGATCTCGCTAACTCGGCTATTGGGCCCGAGCCCGACCTTCGACGCACTGATTGGACACGAGCCCCAGCCGAACACTGACACAGCACTCGTGCCCAATCTCACGCCTCGATCGATCTGATTGGGATGACGGTGCAGAGGCCTTCTGTCTAGGTGGTTCTTGACAGGAGTCTTGGCGCCCGAGGGAGATGCCCTGGCGTTCTCATTCTGCCAGTGACTATCTACTGAAGCCCCTCCTCCCGTAGATATGACTAAGCCAGCTTGTCTTCGACAGGTCGGCTCTTTTTGCGTTATCCGCTGCAACGAAACAAACATACAGCCCCCACCAATATGAAAGACCCATTCGACGACGGAGTTTCAGGCACCTGTGCAGGGTTCGCTCAGGCCAAGCCCGTCGCCCACGTTGCCCATGAGGTGAGAAGATACAGGAACCTTTGTTCTATTCTCGCTTTAAAAATAAAGTGATAGGACCAGAGTTTGCTTGACACAGCAGTAAAAGCTGTCTGGGCCGGTGGGTCTTTCCTTATATTAGAGACCGTTCCTGTCGCGCCCACGTGGGGTTTGTTCGCCTATCTAAGAACAGGTTTGGTCGCATGGTCTCTTAAGAGGGCACCAACTTTGCTGTCTTCTGTACACAACTTTTCCATTGATGACAATGTGAGCAAGGAGTAGGCTGGTTTGTCAATTATATTTAAAACTGAAAACTACGAACGAAAGATTGGGACAACAAAAACTACATCACAATCGTCGAGTAAATAAATACAAAGCGTGCGTATGAAGCAGGGCAGCTTTTTCCTCTGCCTCCCTTGTCCCCTCGTTTGGTAAAATAAATAAATAAATAACACCTGACAAAAAAAAAAATCAGTTAGCCCTTGCTTTTTTTTTTTAATTAGTTTTTTGGAAAATGTTTTGTAGATACAGTTATCTTGTACTTTTTTCCGTAGTTAAGCGACACAAATTAAACGAGCAGCAGCAGTCGATGTAACTATACGCGAGTTTATTTGTAATTCTACACCAGGTTGACGTTTCTCAAACGACAGCTACAGAAAGAAAATAGCAACAAGTTGTTCTATTTAGAGATCCCGGTCTGGTACAAGAGCAAAGTGCGGCGCCCAAAACAAACCAAAAAACCAAAAAGGAATTGCGAAAAGGATTAAAAGAACAGAAAAGCAGACAGAAAACTGAGCTATGTTTTGTCCTGCACTTGAGACACCGGAAGGTTTGGACAACGGCGTCAACACTTCGAGAAAGCTAAAACATTATGACGGAGAGTTCTCTTGGTGAATTCGAAGTGCTCCAAAAGCGCTTCATGCTCGCTCATAGAAAACGCTAAATGCTAGCGCGCTTGCGGAAGCAAGGAGATACAAACAAAATAAAGTGCTCCAAATCCGCTCTATATCTACCAAGAGAATTCACCATTGCCAGTGTTTTTCAACCTCGACAATTTTTTTTTTTTTTTTTTTTAAGAGGTCGCGGTTGATTTGAAGGTTTGACACCAGAATGCCAAGATTGTTTTTTAATCGTTGTGGTTCTCGGTTGAGGTACTTCAAATTAAAAAAAAAAGTAAATAAAAACAAGTCACATTTTGCTTTTTTAAGGGTTGTTAATAAACTGCTCAATGCTTTGCAATATGTTTAGGGGGTAAGGGGGCGAAAACAATACAGAGAAAAGAAAAAAAAAGACAGAACAAAAAAGAACATCCGACGTTTGCAGAGGCATTTTTAAACTGATATTTAAAAATGTCATCATCGACTCGCTCGCTGTTCCACAGAAAACTGTATGAAAACAACCACAAAAAAATTTGCCGAACCCGTTTTTTTTCTTTTTAAATCTATACTCGTATTTACTTTAAGAACCTTAGTAGAAAAAAGATTCATGCTTCTCGTGGGACGTTCCTAATTTCCCTCCTTTCGTGTTGTATTAAGATACCAGTAGCGTATATTGCATATTTTATCGAGACGTACAGGTTTCGAACGCGAAAGGAATCGCTTCTTTTCTCAACAACCACTCTAAAAAAGAGTCCGTGGGTCTACTTTCCCGCACAACAGTCAGAGAGCCAATCACCGCAACTTACAGAGACAGCTCAGCGAATGACGATGCCGATATTTAATGTTTGGACCAAGAAACGCGACCTGAGTTGTGACATTAAGCAATGCAAAACGTCACGCTTGCATTGCTTAATGTCACAACTCAGACTGCGTTTTTTGGTCTAAACGTATGTTTCGGCATCGTCATTCACTGAGCTGCCTCCCTAAGTTGCGGTGATTGGCTCTTCGAGTGTTGTGCGGGACAGTAGACGCACGGGCTTTTTTTTAAGTGCAAATCTCCTAAGCACTACTTTACACAGTGCATGCCATAACGCACAATGTTTCCTTTTTTTCTGTGACATAAAGTATATTGACGGCCGACGTATTTTTCAACCAATGTAACGTCATCGTGTCGGAACACTTAAAAAAAAACGTGTACTCCAAGCACGTTTCACGTCATCACTGTCACGACACTCCCCGATGCCGTATATGAAACCAGACAAATTTCCACCGAGGAACGGCGTGCATGTGTGCAGCCAATATTTCTAACTTGGTGTTTTTTTATCGCAACCGATAAACTTAACATCGCTCTAAACCTTCCCTTTTGCCTCCTTGCTTGCCACGTCCTCTCGTTACATCTTCCTCAACCAACCCCCAACCCCCCCCCCCCTTCCCTCCCCCCCCCCCCTTCCCCCCCCCCCCCCCCCCCCCCCCCCCGTTTAGTCTTGGTCCAGTCTTAGGCTGAATAGAGGCTAGCTGTTCAGCGAGTTTTAGTGGTCGTTCGTTACTCCATAAGCACAAGTTATTGGCGGTTTTCGACGCGTGTTTTTAAACCTACTTTCGCGGCTTCACATCTTCAGATCGCGAGGCGATGCGAAGCTCGAAAAGGATGGCAAGCGAACCTTCCTCCACAGCTTTCTGCTCCAGCCGCTTGGAGCCATATATATCGCTGGAGTCTCCAATAGCACGGAGGCGAAGCCGCGGCGCCTACTGCAAAAAGAGCAAGGCGAGTCTACCAAGATCCGGAAAGCAGACTGATTGTCTCGAACCGTGATACCCGATGCTACGAAGCTCGTCCGTAACGGCTTCTCAAATCCGCGGGTAGACAGTGGACGTGGAAGTGGGGTAACGTTTGAGCTCCGCGATGTTTACGCGTCCTATAAACTACCACGGGTCACGAGCGAGTTTTCCAGGAACGCCTGCTCTGTACGTCCGTGCAAGCTAGTCCTGTTATATACACGCGCGTCGGAGAGATCAGCATTCAAATACTTGCGGACGTGGTTTTATACTGGCTACGATAACAATACCTACAAAAAAAATCAAATTAATCAAAAATAAATCACGGGTTAAATTTTGTTTCGGGATTTAATTTTTCAAGTTTGCAGCATTGCTTGTTTGCAATTGTATGGGTTATATCAGCGTTGGACTTGAACTCGCATCCAAAAACGAGGGCGGTGTCGGCGTTCGCCGAGGTGACTCGGATTTCACTTTTCGGCCAGCAGCGTTGCTCGATGGACTTTGAAAAAAATCTATCAGATATAATTTTATTCTTGAGAAGAGCCTTGGCGGGTATTAATGTTTTCGTTCAACGACAACGAGTGATTCCCCTTTGTATACACACTCTAAAAAAATTCGTCGCGTCTATTTTCCCGCAAAGCACTGGGGAGAGCTGCAGTCGCTGCCCCAGTCTACAGGGTGACACAGAATGACGAGACAGAAAATATACGTTTAAGCGTAAATGAACACTGCAGTGTGACACGAAGCGTTACGATTCACGTGTTAAAAGCATGCTTATGGCGCCGATAGCGCGGACTACTTATGTAAAACCGAAAAAAAAATTATGCTTGTTTTTTTTTTCCCCTTTTTTTTTTGTTCTTTTTTGTGCTGTATCGTTTTCCGAACTTCTTCGGTAAATTTCGGCGATTGTTTTCCAGGTTGATTTACCAGGTTGTATGTGTACTGGATCTTTACAGAGTGCACTCTAAAAATCTGGAACAGCGCCGTCATAACCGACCTTCAATTTTCGTTTCCTCTTATTCCGTTCGCTCCATTTCATCATTACAACAGCAGGACAGGTTACTGCCATTTTAGATGCTACTGTGTCCTTCTCCCCAGCATAGGCCCTTCTGTAGACCCGTGAACGCCCGCTTCAGTGGCTCCGCAACTCGGCAAGACAAGAGAAGGTCGGCTATGGCGGCTCAATCTGGCGCCTGTTTAAAGCGTCTATACTCTCCGTCAAAGCGGTTGGGAGATTAGATCACTACTGTCTATGGAGGGAAGTCTGTGAATACCGAGGAAAAAATATGTCTAGATCTAAAAAAAGAACATATATATATACGGTCGTAAAATACTTTTATAGGGGGTTCATCAACTTGTCCATGTTTAACTCCCTAAAAAGTTGTTTTACGCACCCCACATAAGGGTTCTTCGTGAAAAAACCTATAAGGAGTTCTTTTAAGCTCATCTTTTTAATGCGAAAAAGTTAACTTCATCGCCCAGTTGCCTTTCTATTGGCGACGAGGTGTTTTGGTGACGCCACCTCGCGGGCTCGCTCCTGTGACGCAGTTGGTAGGATGCGAGCAAACGACGCGCTATGTCAATGCACGGAGTGGCTGTGTTAGTTCGCATCTTATCCGCTTAAAACCGGTTTATTTATTAAAAAAACGC